AAATTTTCTATCACGATTTTTGGTTGCGCGCTTAGTCCTGTGAGTTCAGTAATAGTAATCGCCGGTTTATTCAATTGCAATAGTTAGTAATTGTGGGTTAAAGTTGCACTCGCTTGACAATTTTTGGCCTCTCTTTCATTGTGTACCGCATTTTAGTTCTCGATAGTCTCGCCGACATGAATGACGGATGGCCTTTTATTCGGTTTGGTTAATAATTCATTGTATATTCGAATAATTTCAGTGAGAACATTCTGAGATATAATATATTAGTTTGTTAACAATATGGCAAAAAAAATGCAGGCAGGCTTTCGAACAAAAGTTGTGCCATGGAGACGAGGGGCAAGCGGGAAGCTAACGGAATATTTATTTTCTGCTTGAACCATGTTCTCTTAGTTACGGACAGTAATGGTCGAAATTTAGTGAACCCACAGGTATGTAAAAAGAATTACTTTAATATTTTAAGTGTCTTTATGTAATATAACTAAATATACTTGGCTATTAAGCGTTATATTCATATATAAAATCTGGGTGTGACACATTGTTCGTTATACTGCGTCTAGTGTAGAACCACTAAAAAAAGTTAGAAATTATCGGGCATCGTCTCCAACTCAAAACAGATAACAGGGCATATCACGGCGACATCCCAGGCATATATGGTTTGTTTGATGAAGCTTATTTACGGTTAATCTTGATGAGAAGTTCGAAACGGCGTTTCGCAACTGCTTAGAAACTGCGAAAATTTGACTTAAAATGATTTGAAATTCGAATGTAATTTTAGATTCTTTTGGTTTGCGGATTTTTGTTCGGAATCGAAACTCGCCTCCTATAAAATACTGCCAAAAAAAACGAAAAACATCATTATATTTGTTTTATGAATGCCGTAGCTGGTGAAAAAAATTCATTTTTTATTTTATACTAGAATAAATTGTATTTTATGTTATTGCTGATATTCGGATTTTTTAACGGCGATATCTAAAAATGAATTTGCATATTAATTTGACTTTATAGAATTATTAATTTTAATTCGCAGCTTGCTAATTCGTCAACTTTATATCATTTTTAAGATATCGCCGTTAAAAAATCCGAATATCAGCAATAACATAAAATACAATTTATTCTAGTATAAAATAAAAAATGAATTTTTTTCACCAGCTACGACATTCATAAAACAAATATAATGATGTTTTTCGTTTTTTTTGACAGTATTTTATAGGAGGCGAGTTTCGATTCCGAACAAAAATCCGCAAACAAAATGAATCTAAAATTACATTCGAATTTCAAATCATTTTAAGTCAAATTTTCGCAGTTACTAAGCAGTTGCGAAACGCCGTTTCGAATTTCTCATCAAGATTAACCGTAAATAAGCTTCATCAAACAAACCATATATGCCTGGGATGTCGCCGTGATATGCCCTGTTACCTGTTTTGGAGTTGGAGACGATGCCCGATAATTTCTAACTTTTTTCAGTGGTTCTACACCTGACGCAGTATAACGAACAATGTGTCACACCCAGATTTTATATATGAATATAACGCTTAATAGCCAAGTATATTTAGTTATATTACATAAAGACACCTAAAATATTAAAGTAATTCTTTTTACATACCTGTGGATTCACTAAATTTCGACCATTACTGTCCGTAACTAAGAGAACATGGTTCTCGTGCGATCGAGCAGAAAATAAATATTCCGTTAGCTTCCCGCTTGCCCCTCGTCTCCATGGCACAACTTTTGTTCGAAAGCCTGCCTCCATTTTTTTTGCCATATTGTTAACAAACTAATATATTATATCTCAGAATGTTCTCTCTGAAATTATTTAAATATACAATGAATTATTAACCAAACCGAATAAAGGGCCATCCGTCATTCATGTCGGCGAGACTATCGAGAACTAAAATGCGGTACACAATGAAAGAGATGCCAAAAATTGTCAAGCTAGTGCAACTTTATCCCACAATTACTAACTATTGCAATTGAATAAACCGGCGATTACTATTACTGGACTCACAGAACTAAGCGTGCAACCAAAAATCGTGATAGAAAATTTCATGACATAAAATTTTTTAAGAAACTTCGAATATTGAAATTTAAAAGCATTTGGATATAGAAATTTTAACCACTAAAACATATTACCGTGCAGTACAATCTATGTTACGGTATTTGACGACTTCGCATTTTACTGTGTTGCTGACCTAGTCTATTAGAAAGAAATAAGGATGAAGTCGGGTGGTTGAGAAAAGTACGCACCTGCATTCGTTCCGAGATTTTGCAAAATCGAAACTCGTGTTCTACTTTCAGTCGTGTTTTCAATTACGTATAAAATTCTTTCAAATTGTGGAACTCAACGTTTCATGGTGTCAGCAACTTTTGATAAAATAGGGCATTGTCAATCAGGATTTACACATAAATAAAAAATGTACCTACCAACAACTCGAATTTTCCGATTAATATACCACATGTGTTGTATTTATAATATTTTCAGTAACGGATTACATATGAATGCAAAATGTTGTTCCCAACAACTCAACTTGTATGATGTTCCACATATATACTATTATATTCTTCGATAATAAAATGTCGCCTCTCTTAATCGGATAGGCATACTACATTCGCTTGAAAATTGTGAAAATTCACGGTTTTTTCACCTATGAAATTTTGACGAAATAGCATTTTCAGTAACGGAACACATAATTGCAAAATTTTGTTCCCAACAATCAACTTGTGGATGAAGTGTATATCTTATTATATTTTTCAATAAGAAAATTTCGCCCCTCTTAATCGGAAAGACTTGCTGTTGTACTTCGAAAAATGTGAAATTTACGTTATTTCGCCTATGCAATTTCGACCGGAATAGGCATTTTCAGCAACGGAATGCACATGATTACAAATTTTTGTTCCCAACAACTCAACTTGTGGGATGAAGAGTATATATACTAAAATAATTATCAATAATAAAATCTCGACCCCTCTTAATCGGAAAGACTTGCTGTTGTTAATTTGAAAAATGTGAAATTTTACGGTTATTTTCGCCTATGCAAATTTCGACGGAATAGGGCATTTTCAGTAACGGAATGCACATGATTACAAAATTTTGTTCCCAACAACTCAACTTGTGGGATGAAGAGTATATATACTAAAATAATTTATCAAGAATAAAATCTCGCCCCTCTTAATCGGAAAGACTTGCTGTTGTACTTTGGAAAAATGTGAAAATTTTACGTTATTTCGCCTATGCAAATTTCGACGAAAATAGGGCGACTATTTCAGTAACGGACATGCACATGATTACAAGTTTTTGTTCCCAACAACTCAAACTTGTGGGATGAAGAGTGTATATCTTAATATATTTTTCAATAATAAAATCTCGCCCTCTTAATCGGAAAGACATGCTGTTGTAATTTGAAAAATGTGAAATTTTACGTTATTTCGCCTATGCAAATTTCGACGGAATAGGGCATTTTCAGTAACGGAATGCACATGATTACAAAATTTTGTTCCCAACAACTCAACTTGTGGGATGAAGAGTATATATACTAAAATAATTATCAATAATAAAATCTCGCCCCTCTTTATCGGAAAGACTTGCTGTTGTAATTTGAAAAATGTGAAAATTTACGTTGTTTTGCCTATGAAGATTTCGACGAATTGAGGAATTATGAGTACCGGAATGTACATAATTGCAAAATTTTGTTTCCAACAACTCAACTTGTGGTATGAAGAGTCTATATACTAAAATAATTATCAAAATTAATATCTCTCTCCTTTTAATCGGATAGATATTCTACTGCAGCCTGAAAGTTGTGAAATTTTACGTTTTTTTCGCCTGTGTCGATTTCGGTGAAATAGGGCATTTTCAGGAACAGAATACACATAGAAGCGAAATGTTTTTTTTTTTCAAATTACCCAAATGCGTGCCCCCCGCCCTCTCCTGTTTTGGAAGGTAAAAATGCATCTTTCTGTAGCTGCATAGCAATTTTTCGTAGCTTGAAACTGTTTTTAAACATCCAAGACTCTTGAAAACACTCCTGTTCCGGCTTTCGGTCGGATCAGCTAGCTCAGGGGTTCTCAAACCTTTTTTCTGACAAGTACCTCCCAAGTCACGAAACAATCAACGCGAACCCCCGGTAATCAGACACCGAAGAAAGTTGTGATACACTGACTAGCAATTTGTTGCAACACCAATTTAATGACCATATGTAACTAAATCAAATCGTCTTGTTGATATTGTTGCCCTTGTCGCATGCGTAACTAATGAATTATTAAAATATCTCCCAGATTACAATAAGCATAATCACTTCTCCATTGCTCGCAGCACGCTGTCTTTAGAGATTTCACAGTTTGTACACAAAGCCTTGAATTTTCACATTGTTGCGTCAAAATCACGACAACGCAAGCTCAGGGAAAATCTACGTTTCAATTGGCGTTTAGTTTCAATGGGCACGCATTTTCCCATGATAGTAATAAAGGATATTAAAAAACAGCATCATACAAAAACTCGACTATCATCCAAGTACCCCTTGAGTCGCGAACCCCTACTAGCTATTTCCATCTAACAAATGAAATTTCAGGCCCCTTGAAAAATTTCGGTTACGCCCCTGCACACGTTATTGAAAACACAGAGAATAACAAATGTCATTTGGTTGATTTTTTCGCACGAATTTAAGATACGAGGATGTCTTATTATTACCTCATAAAATGCAAAATTTCAGACCTAGCAATATGTGTACATTAATAGTATTTAGTTGGCTTAAAATAGCGAAAGTCCCTACTACACTCAGACGATAAATTCATATTCTTAATTTACTGTGAAATACACTTAAATTTACTTATGATAGTGTTGAATTACTTATTTATTTATAAACCAAAGTCATTTATCCGTGTGGAAATGAAGACTCGCCCGCATTACGCACCACCGATCTCCGACAAGTACAAAAGAGAGATTTAACGCATTACTGCGTAAAATTAGAAGAAGGCGTGCTACTAGCTTCACAGTGGTCCTATAACTTGTCAATATTACCATGTGATTTATCAACGATGTTGACAAATTACCGAAAACTGGGTCAGTGCGCATGACCGCACGCCGACATTGAAAACGGCTCATTAACAAATTATTCCGCACAAATAAATATGCAATAGAATTGAGACCATAACACGGTAATATATTGCATATTTTCAAAAACTAATATATGTTTTTGAACTCATATATTGCCAATTACACATGTACCAAATCGGGTTAATTTAAAATTGTTCCCGGGCCGTGTTTAATCATATTTGACGATAAGAAGTTCATAGTTCAACACGCATTACTTCGTTATAGTTTGCTATTTTGATTTATATTACCATCGCTTGTAAAAGACATGTTTGCTCGAAGCAAACTTTATGAACAAGCACCAAACCCGATACCGTAGTTTTTCAATACACAGAAAGCAAACGAGAAACACTTGACTGGCGTTTAAAAAGAACGCTTTGAAAGAATTACAAAGGTGAAACAGTTCCGCTTTACGCAAGGAATTCGACAGCGCTTCAAACGCTGCTATTTATCAAACTATGGCTATGGATGAGACTGTTGTAAATATAATAGGATTGCCTTTAACTTGTAATCCTGTCAAAATTAAAGTTCGATTTCAGAGCGAGTGTGATGTTTCGATTGATAGCGTGAAAGTGGATCACTCCAAATCAGAAATAATACTGAACAGCAAAGAAGGTAAGCTGCTTATATAATGCAATGTAATTCGTCAGCAGAAGACTGATTTTGTGCGGGCGGAAGTTGTTATGTATATAGTCTCACACTATATTCTTATTTGTTGTTTTATAATATGGTATAGTACTTTTGAATGTGTGCCCAACGTTTTCATATTACAATTTTTGTTATTATTATTATTTATTTATTATATTACAATCCTGAGAACATCAACAACATAAATACATTTCTGCATTTGGAAACCGAGTTATGATAACCAACAGAATGAAAATAATTTGATTAAGCAACACTTAGGGGATCATCCTCAATAAATTTTGATAATAAATAAACCTTATACTAAATTAGAACCCTCTGCAATCCGTTAAAGTCAACTAGTATTATAGTATTACAACTAGAATTATGATCATTTAATATTGTATGAATTGGTCACTTATGTTGACCAAACCATCTAGGTGGACAGAAAAACAATTACGCAAACTTGATCAAGAAACTTTAGAAGTTGTTTTTCATTCTAGAAAATCATCTCCATATTATGATAAATTCAAAAGCATTTTTTTGATTCAATGAAATGATATAGTTGTCTAAACTGGACAATGCGTTTAATAGAATTTAACAATTTTGAAAGAATTTCAATGCTTATTAAATTTACTGTATAAAATTACTGTACAAAATGGATGGACCCATCAAATTGTAAACCTTGATTGTATTTTGACTTTATTATTTACATTAAAAACAAATTTGAAAAAAGTTACATCATAATACTGAGATATATATTTGTTTATTATACAATTTTAATACAGATGCAGAAAAATTTCGCAAAAATCTTCCAAAAAGCATCAAGTTTGGGGATACAGTCCACAATCTTGCACTATATGAAGATGAGACAGCTAGTGGTAAATATTTTATTTTCAGTCAATTATTATTCACGCTTACATAATGAGATATATGTTGGAAAACTCTTATTCCATTATTTTAGATTCAGTTGACAGTTCTACAACAACAGAGCAAGAACTGTCACCAACTCCAGTAGCACAGAAAGAAGATGAAAATTTAACGATCCAAAATGTACAATACTGGGATACGATGGTGCCGTTACCATTATGCAAATAGTAAATCCGGTTATAATCCTAAAAAAAATTACATTTTTGCTAAAAATTTCATCTTGATTTTTTTTATTTTTAGTGGATTGTTGGTACAGTTAAAAGACGAGACTATTACCACAAAGAATGTGCATGATTATTTCAGCAGCAACCAACTTTCTTGTGGCGGACCCATAAGAAGAATGCAATGCATGATTGATGGAATACTGATACTGTTTCAAGATGCCAAAAGTATTTATTCAATTCATATTTTTGTCAAATGAAAAGAAAGAGTTTCTCAAGTACAACAATATATATATTATCCATTGTTGTAACTTGGAAGTTCGAAAATCTGTGCTAGCAACGTTCATACTCAAAATGTGTGTAAATATGGGATGTGTACCTTTTTTATTTTACAGCTGCTGAGAAAGTTTGGAAATTCAGACCTCACCGGATCGCTAATAGACCAATCAAGATATTCTTGAAGACAATACCCACAGTTTATCATGATAAACTCCTTTATAAAGTATGTCTGTGAAACGATTATTTTTTGAATTTAGAAGTTATTTTTTCTTCATTTATTTACTTTTTTATCATATTTAGCCACAGAAGCAAAATATGTCGGACCAAGAAATTAAAACCTTATTGGTTGGAATTTCTCCGAAACAAACTTCGCCAACGACCGTCAAAAGATACGACAGCAACAATATTCTTATTTCCTATGAAGCGGATGTAGGTTAGTATTCAGGTCACCTGCAATCAAATCTCCCCAACACTGGTAGTTGACGATTTAGTTGCAGTGATGGAAAATTAAAATTCGGAAGTGTTTGTTTTTTACATGCTGACTTCATCTATTCCATTTGAAGAGGGATATTGGAAGATATCCTAGATCTAAAACAGTGGTTCTTAAACTTTTTTAGCTGCGCCCCCTTTTTAGAATTCGATAAGTGTCGCACCCCCACTCCAAAAATAACTAGCAAACAATAAGCTACAAATAACAGATAGTAAGGCCGAATGTATGTTTTATTCAAAAAAAAACAGTCGATAAATTCGTGGATAGAACGTTAAAATTCAAAATAAAGGAATGTATTCGAAAGAAGGCAGGCAAGATCAAATCCAACGAATATTATTGTTTTTCATTAGATTCACGCCCCCTCAAAAAATTGTCTACGCCCACCGTTTGAGAGCCACCGGTCTAGAAATTCGTTATAAAAGATTTATTATAATATCTATAGAATAATGAGCAAAGGGAAGCCTTTTTCATGAACTCTAAGTAGTCACAGGCAAAGGACAAGACTGTTCAGTAGCTACATCCATATTGATTTCCCCATTTCCTGCGTTCAATTAGTTATTTATTGATACAGGACTTGAACTCAAGACAATCATGTTAGAATTCAAAAAACGTCTCAATGAAAACGTGAGTTATTAAAAAAATTGAAATTTAGTTTTTTTATTATTTCAAATACCGATACTCATTTATGAAATTTATTTTAGATTTCTCAATTGCCCAAAACTGATTGCCTAAGAGTAAAAGGTTTTCCATCTGATATTTCTGATGAAGAAATAATTATTTTATTCGAAAACAAACAAAGAACTGGAGGGGGACCAGTAACGAAAATTCAACATTTAGACAACGATGTCAGACTTGTATACTTTGCATCTTATGAAGGTTAGCATATAGCAATTTATATGGTACTCCTGAAGTATGCATACCAAGATCGCGGCCACCGGATTGTAGTATGTGACCATGTTGGTATGCATACTTCAAGAGAACTAGAATTTTTTTTTTTCAATGGAAAAATTCTATTGTTTCAGAAGGAGAAAATTCTATATTTTATTTGCATGTAGTATTCCTAATATTTCAAATTATTGAACATTATTATAAAACATATTTATTCACACATCAAAAACTATTGTTACTGTAAAAATGAGCAAGAGCGCCCATCACTACCTAATGATTCGTTTTTTAGGAGATTGAGTATTAATTGGAAATGGTGTTTTATTCAGAGGGGGGAGAAGGAAAAATTAGGGGGAACGATGGGGGACCACTGGGTTATGTGATGGGTGTGGGGTATCTCTAATATTCCAGTATACTCGACGCAAAAAATGTTTGTCTTTTATACCCCCATGCTAAAAAATAACTTTATTTTCACTATTCAGATGCGACAGATGTCATCAATAAATTTAGAGGAAAAACATTACCAGTCTTCAACACTTCTTTGAAGATAAGTAAATACTTCCACTTCATGTTTGACAAGAATAATAATGACATTGCTGAAGACAGTGGTAATACCAGCGATTATAGCAGTACATCTACACTTTCGGAAGGCAAATTCAGGTTGACATGTTAGAATAGAATAGGGTTTTTATCTTTATTCAAGGAAAGCTGATAAGACAGCCTAATCATATGACGAACTAAAACGTTGCAAACCATTTGGTATGTGAACCACCCTAAGACGGCAACAAGTCCAACATTCTCCTTGCATGGGATTATTTGCCACGGCATGCCCCAATACAGTGTTTCATACTATTTAATTTTAAAAGTATTAATTTGAATTTTTTTTCTTCAATTTTTTATTTTTTAGATGGCTTGTTGATTGTAAAATGGCAGAACAAATAAAAAATCAGTACAAAGTTAAAATTGTGTTCAATGAACGAGATAAAACTATCACATATATTGGGGACAAAGATGAGGTTACAAAAGGGCAGAAAGCTGTTACAAAAATGCTGAAGGTAAGTATCCAACATATTTTCCTATACAAAATAAATAAATATTGGAGAGAGTCCCCAATAATGCATAAGTATCTGCAACCAGAAGACGAAAACCATAAAACAAAATTTTTTTTTATAATTCAAATTGGTCAAATAGTTCAGGAATAGTCATGATTGTGGCAGTTTTACAATAACAAAATGTTCCCCAGACAGAAGTTAACTCTAGATCGTAGCCGATTATGAATTTTCCCTGACTTCAAAGCCTCTGGAGTTGTTCCCTGCCATGTTACCTAAAATACACAAACCTTTAATTGAAATTCAGCTCTTTCGTTCTTTCAGAATGTGACTAGAAAAGTGTTTGACTCAACTGAAAAAGATTTTGTTCATTTTCTACTCTATGCAAAATCAAATCTTGTTATATCTAGGAATGCTTTGGATCATTTGCGAAACAAGGGAATTAATGGTTAGTAAAATTTAATGTAGTTTTGAAGGTCTGTGCATCGTTTTTATTAAGATGTGTCTGTCCGCAAATCTGCATAGTCACTTTTTTGGTTTACATCAGTGGTTCACAACCTTTCTACCCTGACGGACCGGTAAAATTAAATAAAATGTCCTCACAGACTGGCCAAATAGTTTGTCAGTCTGGTAATATTCTTGAAAAGTAATTTAATACCTGATTGAAAGTGTTTGTGCGTGTTTTCCTTTGTAAGCCGCAATGCATTTTTCAAGGTGAAGGAATTCAATTATGATTATAATGTGTTTTCTCTGTTTGGGGCAATTTTTATCACTTCTTCAAGGCTTTTCACATACATATTTAAAATATGAGTATCATTCTGAATTCAGCCAACTTTAGCATGCGAAACCAAAAAGGTTGCCCACTCCTGATTTATGATAAACAAAAAATCATTTGTGAGTGGAGTGAAGAGAAATGAAAAATAATGAACAACATTTTCAGCTATTGTGGCAGTTGATAACAACATTCCATTTATTTGGGGATACAAGACTGATTGTGAATCTGCACTATATGAATTGAATAAAAGTATTTTGTCCGTTTGCGAAGTTCCAGTTTCACCAAATGTTCAGGACACTGTGTTATGGGAATCCATTAAAAATTTGGAGTCAAATGGCTTGATTAAAGTCTATAGACAGGTACGAAAAACCTGTTCAAAACTGTATATATCTGTCATTATTACTAATAAACGTGTTCTTATATTAGTTTAATATGTTCATTAACTGAACTATTGTTTTTACTTTTTTTCAATTTCAAAATATTTATATCAATGTCTCTGGTGTTGTCTTTCTGAAATATTTGTAATGCTATGAGGTTCAAATTTGAAAAGAAGTACGCAAATTTTCCGCTATCTGTATACCCTTTTAACGGGGTCTCAAAAACGTCACACCCTGCATTTGTTCTGCGCTTGTCCAACTTGCTCCACTCCTGCCCCACTGTTCCGAGTTGGGGTAGTGATATTTTTGGAAGGATCAGAGCAATAATATGAAGTGAGATTCAACATTTTTTATATACTTTACCAGAGTGCTCACATAAAAATTGTTGGATTTCGAGAGTCTGTAGTTATTGCTCGACAGCTGTTAACTGCATGTCTTATTGATGATGATGATGGGGAGGAACTTTTAAAATTGAATTATGATGAAGGAGTCATAATATATATTCTTGAACACACAAATTTCAAGAAATTGTGTAGTGAAAGTTTTGTAAAAATTGTGAAGACTGATAATCAAAGTATAACACTAAAAGGCACGAAACAATCTTTACAGAAAGGTGAGATTTGTGCTGTAACTTCTACGGACTGATATCTATTTTTGATCTGGATTATTATATAAATTCAAAATTGACAGGTTCTTAAACTTTCATGACATGTATTTTTATTTTATTCTTAATGGATTTTATAAAAGAAAAATATGAAAGTATATAAATAATATTACTCAATACCACATACCTTGTTATTCTGTGGGTTGATGAAAAATGTAAACAATACCTAAATTTTACTACTTATCCATACTATGTTTGCTGAAAAAGGGAAGATCTATGATGGGTACCCGAGAAGCAAATCATAATTAAAAGTGTATACTTACTTTTGAGACGTAGCCCATTTCTATGGGATCACAACACCTTTGCCCCCTGCTGGAAAAAAGTTTTTTATTATTTTATGCATTATGATTTTATTTTATGCATTATGTTTATTAATGTAAAGCAAATTAGCGAAAATAAAATAATTAATGCAGTCAAAGAATTGAGCTAATTGTAGTCTATATACTTTAAATTATCGTAGTCATCATGAATTGTTTTTTTGCCCATGGCAACAGCATTTGGAGTAAAGTATAAATATCAAAAGTTATTTTCATATTAACATTAGACCACTAATTGACAAAGGCTACTATTAGGCACCTTTTGAAAAAATTAGTAAATATGTTAACTGTATGCTTCTAACAGATATTATTTTACTGTAATGAAATTTTTTTTTTAGTTGAAAATTCAGTGAAAGATATGACAACTAGAGTTGTCCACACAAACCATATTGTTGAAAAATTCGGGCTGCTTGACTTCATGCGAAGTTCCGAAGGAAAAACGATATTGAAACAAACAAGTAGTATGTACAAAGTTGTAATACTTTGCAATAAATCTCTCAAATCTTCACAATTTATGGTGAGAAATATTTGTATAGAAACAGAAAAAAAAAATTTTATTACATAAATTTGTAAATTCATATAGGATACTTCAACTCATGTTGCATCTTCATCTTTGCAAAACAAGCCAAGTGTGAAAATTGGTGGTATTGTAATAACTGTCAAGCAAGGAGATATAACAGATGAAGACAGTGATGTTATTTTGAATTCAGCTGGTGTCAGTTTTTCATCTCCAAGTATACAATCTTATTTTAATTAATTTAATTTTAATTTAATTGGACAGAAAGTGGGCCATTAATTAATTTTGCTGTGCAAAGTCGACATATGATTATTTTGTTAAATTGTTGATGTTGGCATGATTGCTGTTGTTGGGTAAAAATCGTCGAAGTCAAAAAATCGAGTTGATTACTTCCATTTGTCAAATTTCCTCAAAGTCTTATGGGTTGCTGTTTTATTTTAATTATTTAAAAGGTATACTTTCATTTCATATTTCTAAACTGTCTTTGTATTGCGCTGATTTTTCAGCAAAGTCTGTGCTTTCATGCTGTACAGGTACAAATGCATGACTTTCGTGCCCATATATTTAAGCATTGTTTTCTTGTATTTTGTTTTATTTCTTCCTTTCACTCTTTGGTGTCTTTGCACAAACTTTGGTATTTTAAAAACAAATTGTGGGATCACATAGATTTACTGCTGGCCGATTTTGAAGTTTTTGCCTACTGAGCAAGTAGATTCTTCTTTTTATCAAAGCTTCGATACTTTAAAAACCTATTTTTATCTCTGTTTGTTATTAGGTATAATGACAAAAGCTATCTTGGATAAAGGAGGTAGCAGTATACAACATGAATTGAATTCACTAGACAATAAATACTTTCGAGTAACAAGCAGTGGCAAACTTGAATGTAGAAAAATATTTCACTGCACTTCACCATTGATTACAAAAGACATTTCTACATGTTTATGGAATGCTCTTAAGGAAACTGAGAAACGGTATTATAAATCAATTTCCATTCCTGCAATAGGAACAGGTTTGTGAACTAAAACTTGTTTTGCTCAACAATGGCAGTAACATGATGTTTAAAATTTAATTCTCTCTATGCTTCTGCAGGTATCAGTGGTATATCAGTAAGTGAGGTTTCCCGAATTATGATGGAAATATTTCACACTTTTGCTAATGATTCCAAAACACAATACGTAAAGTCCATCAATGTGGTCGTTCTTGATCCGTCTCATATGCATTGTTTTAAAACTGCACTCAAAGAAATTGAAATGAAAGGAGCAACAGCCCTTGGTGCAACAGGTAGCTTCAAGTAAAAACTAAACATTTCAAAAAGTGTTTAGAATATATTTGCTTATTTGCAACTTTCTAATATCACTGCATTATATGAAAAGCCACATACCACATTTGATTCTAAAATGTTTATGTCCTTTGCACTATATTGTTGTGTCTCACTAGTTCCATACCTGCCCCTGCTTCAACACACATGTCTGACTTTGGTACTCTTGTCCCTCTGTTCTGTGCTGGATATGTATATATTTTGGTAAAGCGGAATTTATGCTATGTTCTGGATGAGTTATATATATATAATACTTTGGCAGAGGATTAATATGAGATTCATACAATTGGGACATGTGTGAGAGCAGTGGGACACAACAATTTCAAGTCACCCAGCTCTTATGTAACATCTTCATCACTTCGACAAGGCTGGATACAAATTCTTGTATCTCTGTACTGATATGATCTGATAGTTTCACAACTGTGCCAATAGCCATGATGAGTTGTTGGTTGATTGAGTGATACAATTTGCTTTATAGTAAAGACCCCAAAACAGAACCCATGAATTTCTATAGTACTTATACAAAAATAAGGAAAATTTATTTAACATTTGAACTTCTATTTGTGTATGATTGTTCCCAAAAGTTTCAGCAAGCTAAGACACTTTGTGTAAAAGTTATGTTCTCTCTTGAACATGATCCAGATAACCTGGGTTATGTTTTTTGCGTCACTCTACATGTTATCTGAGGTATTAAATAGGTTCGAATAGTAGTTTATATTTACATCATACATACTACATATAATTACCTTTTATTTTATTCATCACAAGGTGCTTCCAATGCAGTTCAAACTACCTACAGATTTCCTGTTATGATTGGTCCTTTGGCAGTCTCTGTTCGTCAGGGTGATATTACCGAAGAGAAAAATGATGCAATTGTAAATAGCACTGGAGAAAACTTTGACCTTTCTAAAGGTATGACTTTCTGATCCTTTTTCTGAGTCTGCCAGGTGTCTTAAAAATGGCCTATACTTGCACCAATCTTCCCAACAGTATATATCTACCCTTATTCACAACAGTGAGGGAGTGGAATAAGTGTGGGGTATTTGGGTCAAGTGTGGTGCAAGTGGGTCAAGTGTGAAATAAGTGTGAGGTTCAAATGTGGAATAAGTAGAACAGGTGCGGTGCAGGGGGGACAAGTGATGTATTTGACGAAAACTTCTAAGGTTGTTTCCTTCGGAAGGAGCAACCTTCTGTATGCCTCGCCCTTCCACCAGTTGGTTGGCATAAAACAGTTGAGCATCCGACGCACAGCACCACTGTTTGAGCATGACTGAATACCGTCGTAATCTTATAGCAACCTGGGCACTTTACATCCATGAAATGTGTACTGCAATCAAGCGTTTTAGGTGCATAGATTTAGGCACAACTAATCATGTTTAAAAAAAGTTACAATGATTTTATTTCGGAAATAACTGCGTATACAGATAAACCTTAAATAAATTTCAGCTTTCAATAGCTAGATCAATGGCCAGCAACCACCGGGCCGCAGCCCATTGCCGGTCCGCAGAGAGGTGACACAAAAAGGGACAAGGCCGTAATAAAACCTCTTCAATCTAACCACAAACCCTACGACTAAAACACAGCACCTAACAGTAAACCAGACAAAAACAACACCAGGGGTCGGAAAAAAGGCGGCCCGCGAGCTAATTTGTTGCGGCCCTTGAACGACATGACATTTAATAAATGAAACAAAAATTAATCCCAAATTTATTATTGTCTCTACACGGATTTATGTGGTGACAAGTGCTGCTGTACGACGCTTCTTATGTAACAAATAGCGCCAGTTGTATGTCGTTCGAGTTAATTTCGATTTTTCAAATTTTGAAAATGTCTGAAAAACGGAGCGACACGGGTCGAGCATTCCAAAGTGCTTGAACGGAAAAATATTTTTCTTTCTTGCGCATTCCAAAACCGGTTTGCTCGATATGCCCAGTCAGCATCGCAGTTGTTAAGGGTTTCAATGTTAAACTCGTTACGAAACGAGTCGTCGAAAATTCGACCCCGAGACCCGGGACTGCGCCACAGCTCATCTGTGCGACAGTGCAAAACGTGTAATGTGCACATTCGAAAGAACATATTATGGCCTTGAGCAGCTTTATCTAAAATGCAATACACTTAGATTAAATTTCGTACTCGCTTGTCAGATCATCATTTGGACGACGAGTTGCCATAAAAACATCATCTTTCACATTGATAATGAGTACATAAAAACAATGTATTGTTGGATAATAAAAAAACGCCACATATACATTTCATTGGGACAGGCTTTCAACACAGCAATAGAAGGGTAGCAATGCGAATGCGCGATAATTTAAAGTTTAATTATGGTAGCGATTGTTCGAAGGCGGAAATATGGCGGCCCCCGCGCTACCAGAAATGTTTATATTTAGCCCGCAAGTACATGAAGTTTGCTTTCTCTACGCATTCCCTCTCATCAGTCCGACTAAGATCTCCCCAACAAAACGATACAGACATTGTTAACTTTCCCGAAATCTTAATGTGAGGCCTAGTTTTCAATATTGATAACTACAAAAACGAAATATCGAAATAGGCTGGAAGTAAGAAACACGTTATGTGTGTCAATGTCGACCATATCTCGAATATGGGAACAGTTAATGGTCATTAAACAAATACAGACATCACATTAAATAGCATCATCGTCGTTTTTAGTATATTGTCAACATAAATTTCCTAATGCGTATAATTTATTGCATAGGCTTAGTTCGTTTGTATAAAGGTGGTGCGCCAAAACTTTGGTCAAGCTTTACCGGTCCGTCACTTGAAAAAGGGTTGAAGACCACTGAGCTAGATCACTATATCATTAAAACTCGAGAATTTCGGGATAAAAACATCTTTTTGCATTCAACATCAAGGTCTTGTCTCAAATGCGATAATTGAGAAAGGAGGATGGAAAATTCAACAAGAGGTCTACAAAAAATATAATTTTAACATCCGAGTCTCATCTGGTGGAAGACTTCCTTGTAATAAGATTATTCATGTGTTTACTCCATTGAGAACTGAACTTTTTATTAATCGGCTTGTAAAGGTTTTGGAAATGGCAGAAACGGAGTGTTGCAAATCAATTTCACTTCCAGCGATTGGCACAGGTTTGTGATTGGATCTATTGACCTACTCAACTTCTTCATTCATTTTGGTTGCCATTAACAACTAAATTTCAGCAAACATACCATATTTCTCGTCGTATAAATCACAATACATTGATATTGGATAAAATCAATCAATTTATGTAACTGGCTATTAATTTTCACAGATACCAGTCTTATCTATATAAATTTTATAAGGCAAAGTCCGTTAGAACTACTATGTGCTCATTTCTGTGAATGAATACTTACAGAATTTACTTTGGTATTCTGCCAAACAGAAAGTCTAGTGAAGAAATGTACTTGTGTATTATGTATCTGTGGTCAACTATGCGATGTATATATGATATTATCATTCATGACACAAATTTTGTCAGGGAACCTTAAATTTTCTGTTGAAAACGTTGCAAACACTATGGTGAAAGCATTTGATACATTTTCACAAAAGCATCCAGTGACAAATTATCTCAAAGTTGTTGATATAGTCATATTTGACAGAACTCAGCTTCAATATTTTATTGGAGCAGTTACTCGATACAATACAGAAAAGAAAGGTAAAGTATATACGACCGCCGAAAAAATTTAGTGTTTAACTTGCCTCACACTTGTATGAATCTTGCACCATATGAATAAACTAACTCTCTGCTAAAGTAGTATACTTATCCTGGACCAAGGCATAGCATGAATCCCACTTCATATGCTCACCTCAACCATTTGCTGCACAATTTATATCTTACTCAACTTGAAACAGTGGGAAATGTTTGGAAAAAGTTTGAAATTTGTGGCATGACATTTTTGAGACGTCGTTAAAAATATGTAAGATTTTTTTGTGCTTTGATAAATATCAAGTCATACATCACAGTTATTTAACTGGTAAGATTTTCCCATGTTTGATCTGGACAGGTAACCAGTATTTTTCCCTCCAGAGATAAACAAGAAATTCTTTACCACTGACCTAACTTCTTTTATAGGGGAAAAATCAAATAAAAGCTGGGTTCAAAATCTTCCTGGTATGTCATATGTGAGTGAGACAGTTTCAATAATAAGTAAAGGTAAGAAAGATTGCTGCTTTTCAAAATAGTTGAAATTGTAGCTTGTGGCTCACAAGCAACTTTATGGTTTCCTTTTTTGTATTCGGTGCAATCACCAAATCTTGAACTTTTTTTTACTGCCTAATGCCTATTGCGTGTAGCAAATTACAGTACTAAAGAGATGTGGAGGTTACCAAACTATGGAATAAAAAGGGTATTATTTTTGAGGATAAATCATGTATTATTTGAATATTAAAAAACTTGATTTTGTCAAGAGGCTGAAACAATTACACCATGTTTAAGTTATTATTCGTTAGTTTTAGTACTGATCCTTTTCGTTTCTATTATAAATTTTGTCTTGCAACCATGTGGATATCAGTTCACAAATTTTTAAATATGTGCCTATTATAGCCTTTTCATCTGATGAGCCAATGCAACGAAGTGAAGATAGCAAAGATACTAAAAAGTATCTCGCAGAACTTCATATATACTCTTTGAGCAAGGATATCAATGAAACGGTATGAATGCTTTTTCTATTTATATATGACTGTATCGAATTTGTCATACAGTGAAAATGAGCAGATCAGTTTATACCCAAAGTCTGTGAGACATACTCCATCTAGGATCTAATTTAGTGTAATTTATATAAAACTGATGTCTTTAAATTATAACATTATTAACTTGTTTGAAAATTGCTTTTGGAATTTGCCTTCCTTTATCATGACCTTTATAGTCGTTTAGGCCAGCTTTGGCCCAATTAACAGAAGCAAAATCTTTCTGACAATGCTTTCATTTGCCTTCCCTCCTAACAAGGCTCTGTATCCACTGCTATGTAGGAAACTACGTTATTTTGGAAAGGTCAGAATTTTTCCAGTTCAGCATTGTGCCCCCAATATATTACACCATGTGTGAGACGAAAATGATATTAATACAATGATGTTTAATATGGATAAAAAAAAAAACTTTTGTATGGGTACATTAATGCCTAAATCAACAATCTTACTTTGTAGTGGGCTGATTAACTCGTGCCAAATGCTGTCTATCTTACCTCAATCTACAACTTTTTTGATCCATCATTTTCAAATTGGTAATTCGTACCATTACTAGAGCTGGGCATTCCGAACCGAATCGAATAGTATATTATTCGAATCGTTTCAGAGCAAAATTTAGAATCACCGCCGTCTTGTTTTTTTCTTTCCGCCAATGTTCAAGGTGAATTTTTCAATTTTTTTGTTGAAGCCATATATTTTCAACGCAATTCTGACATTTGACTCTTTTCTGTAATGATTTATTGATGAAAACGTGTTTTTCATTATGTGTGAACGCTCAGCAATCTGCTTGAGTGATGCATTCTATGCTTTCTGTAATTTATGTATCTGGAGGACCTAATACAATAAGAAAGTTACATACAATTTTATATCTCTCAAGTATTCGAAATTCAATTCGAAAAAAATATTCGATTCAATTCTGAAATCGTCAGGTATTCGAAAATGCCCAGCCCTAACCATTACCAAATCAAAATCGCTCACACATGTGTTATTTTTTAGGCACTACAGATTGTTTTGCAAAAATTCGATGAAGCATATAACTATAACAAATTTCCACCCCCAGATTTCAAGCAACAGATAAATTCAAATGGGTATGCAAATGACAATCATTTGGCAATGTATTGTATTTTTATTTGAATCTTGAAAGATTGTATATTTTGTGTGATAAATCATAAATACTAAGAATGTACTGTAACCAAAATTAGTGTAACTGAATAAAACCAAATGTAGTTTAATAGTTTTGGAAATAAATTATTGTTAGTCCTGCGATAGGTAGAAATCCATTTTGTAAAGCTTATATATACCCTTAATTGTAACACTGCTTGAATCAAATTGTTCAAGTAAATATCATGCATTTAGCTAGAGGTGTCTGTGTCAGAGTTTTTTTTTTTCAAAATGGCGGCAAAAATAGTCAAAATTTTCTAAAAAGATTAGAAAAACACATTAAGTTACTAAACGTTCTTTTCAGACTATTAAAGAATGTTTTCATATGACAAATTTTTTGTTGTCAGAATTTGATTTTTCCAGATTCAAGTTTGAAATTTTTAATTCAGAGTCCAAATTTTTAGTAGCCATACATTTGGCAATGCAATGTATTTTTTATTTGAAAAGATAGCATGATAATCAGCGGACTCATTTCTGTAGAATATATATTGTGCTATTCTGTGTATTGTTGCTTCAATAATATCTTACTTTTTATAATAAGCAATAATAATAATTATTAATATATTAATTTAGATCTGGAAAAAAAACAAAAGTTGAAGGATTGAAGTCGGATGTTTCCAATGCTGGCAAGTCTATGCAACAGAATCGTATATTATTTGTTTGGCAATGGATGAATAAAAAGGGTAAATGGGTGTCATTCGAATCAGAAATATCGGACAAACTCGAAGACGTTTACAGAGTGAGACTATTAGTATTCGAGATAGTTGAGATTTGAATGATTTCTGTAAATTGATTTTATGTTGGAGAAATTGTTCTATTACCTTGTCTTTTGAGTTTCTCTTGCATTTTGCTTTCACCTCTGCCCTGTCGTTGTTGGTCATTCTGAATTGGTTTTGTTCAGAACATCGAACATTTATTCCCATCCAAAAATTCAACATTATGTTTGTGTTATTGGTATTGTTATCATTTTTTAATAGTTTGCCTTTGGAATATTCTCCTACGACTTGCTGTTTGGCTTGCCAAATATGCAATGAATAAACTCGTCCATAGTTTCAACTGAATTTAAATATTTATACAGATCAATCCTGCATACCATGGTGAAGTAACAATTAATGGTGTGAAACATATGATCGATATTGGGTCAAGGACATTTGGAGATTTACAGATTAAAAGAAATATCTGGAATGGTATGAATGATTGATATTATTTATTGTCAGTGCTATTTTTGTCATTTGCAGTAGCACTAAAGAATTATAAAAATCAAATGTGACTATATTTCTTTTTTTTCATAGGACCGTTGCAACAAAGTCAAACAACGGAGTCATCCCATAAAAGTACTAGCAGTACTCATGTAAGCATCTATATTTAATCGCCAAAAAAAAACAGACAAAATAAGGATGTTCGTCAATTGAAGCAGTTTTCCACTCAATTAACTATAAAATAAATTTTTGATATCATGACCTTGATATTTATCTAATGTTTTTTGTAGGTTGACAAGAAAAAAGCTTTCTCACACAAAAAAGATAAATAATTTGTGATATTGGCAGAATCATGAGCAATTCCTGTTTTTAAATTATGTCGAATACAAAGCATGGTGATTTCTTTATGCTTTAACTAACCTTAGCGTAAATTCGAAACGAAAGAGAAAATACTGTGATTTTTGGTGACGAGGCTATGTCTTTTACTTAGATAGGGTATGCTGCACTGTTGTATCTATTCTAATTGGTATTTCACTTCAAATACAATGTAATTTTTATATATTCCCTAAAGAGAAAGAAATGCACTTGTTATGTTAGCTATGAGTCTAAACGCTGTATAATTCAATTTTATGTACAAAAATAAAAGCAACCGACTATATTATGCTTATGTTTAAGGTTTGCAATGCCACTTGGTAGGACGTTTAGATGAGATGTAGCCTGATAAGATGGTTTCGCCATTAGGGTTATGTTGCATTATTTGTGGATTTCTTAGTTATTGGCAAATAGGACTGGCATCTGAATTTCCACTTCTTTGTATTTACGATTCTTTGCACTTTTAATTCTTTCTGTTCCTGTTTAAAACTTCAATAAACCATATATAAATATACCAAGCGTCAGTTTATTGAATTCGTGTAAAGATTTTCCCTTGGTGTGAGACTTATGTAGAGCGTGGGGTATTCTCAAGCTGCAAAAATAAATGTACAATTTGTTAAAACATTGACAGAAAAATGATTATGTAGTATTATTATGATAAGAGTTGAATAGTCACGCACACAAAGTCTAACCACTATGTAAGTAAGTTGATTTACCACAAAGAAGTCACAAGAAACAAACAGACTAACATATGTATTGAATATTTTTGTGAAGGTATTTGCACAAGGCACAATTCTGCGAATCGTATGATATATCAACGTTGCAAACAGAATTAAAAATATTAAAAATTGAAATATTTTAGGCACAAATTGTGTATTTATGTTTGCATATGCGTCATGTTTGTAAGTGACCTGATTTAAGTAAGCTGATTTAATTCAATTTGTTCACATGACCTCAGGTATCAATGTGTAATTGTTTATGAATTTATTACTCACATCAGATGATATGAATGTCATGACCGAAATCCCGGTTACCATATGATACTGACGAAAGATAAAAACTAGATAAACAAATGACAATATAACCGCATGTCATCTCAAATGTTGTCGCAACTTACGAAATAGATTGTGATTGAAGGTCCCTTCGGTTTGACAAAACCACATTTGATTTAATTCGCTGTCAGTCAATTATTCCGCGTTTGCAAAGAAGTTCGACATGAGATAAATAGGATAAGATATAAAGGTACTTTTTGCCTTCAGTCTAATTGCTTTTACTGAGTTATTCACGTAAAGTGGGCGTGGGAAACTCCATTTTTAATCATACTTGATCAAGACGGTATGTTAGTCGTTGATCAAGACCAATGAAACCACATTTCATTTAATTCGTTGTCAGTCAATTATTCCGCGTTTGCAAAGCAGTTCGACTTTCGACATGAGATAAATAGGACAAGATATAAAGGTACTTTTTGCCTCCAGTCTAAATGCTTTTACTGAGTTATTCACGTAAAGTGGGCGTGGGAAACTCCATTTTTAATCATACTTGATCAAGACCAATGACTGACTACCAAGCCCTGGGCAATGGTATCGCAAATCACGTGACTGTTTGTTTACTACCGCTGCAATCACAACTCTGATTCATAATCATAGGTTGTTAGTTGGATGCAGGAATACTGAATTTCAGAATACTGTGTAAACTATTATTGTTATTGACGTTGTTATGTGTGTACTTCAGTATAATTTATGGAAGTGATGGAAAAATATGTATTGATTGTGTTGTTGACGTGCTATTTTCAATATTCACTTGCAAATGAAATTAGAAATGTCTCTGTTTTCGAAGACAACTCTGATGATGTGGAGGTATGTCAGTGCTTTTTTTTCATTTGTGAATTATCTTGTATTGTCCGGCTGTGTGGTATGCATAGATTCTGACGTTTGCGAAATTACTGAATTCTGGGGACACTCATTTTGACCCGAAACATACGATAGCAGCTAACTTGCTGATTTAGCAGACTACACTAAGCTTTAGGAGGATTTTAGATTCTCAATATCCTACTAGTGATAGCGGGTGAATAGTACTGCACATAAGCTGGTGTGGAGTCTGCTGGTCTGTGGTGTGGCGCATCTTGCTGAGTTATGAATACGATCGCCACCACACTTTTGATTACTCCACGGGGGTTTGCAGGTATGAATCCTGTGTAGAATATTTATATGCAAGAGGATTGCTGGATTCCTTGCCACGGTAAGGTGCTTGACATATCCGGTCGGTCAGTCACGGCTCTGCGGCTTCGGCCACCATAAAGTCTATGCATCAGGAACAAATAACCAGCTAACTAAACCCATACATAAAACTTCCATGTTTTAGATGATGGTTTTGTAGCATTCATCATCATCCAGTCATCATTTTATTTCGGTTTTTTGACATGTAACAACACAAAAAGTGAATGAACAAACAAATGCAGAGGTACCCGGCAAGCGAACATAACTTGAAGTAAAGTTAAAAAGTGTACTGAAGTAGCCCAGGCGCCCGCACTTAGAAAGAGACTCCTAAATCCAATTTATAATTTCATTGTATTTTTAGTGTCGAGAATATCATTCCATCAAAAATTCATCGGATATTTGCAATTTTGTGAATTCTACTGATGACTGTAAAATGGATGAAGGTTTTTTTGATTATATATTATATGCTTTGTGTGACGTGAAACCTAATTTACTGCCTGCAGTTTACGTCTTATATGTAAGTATATTAGTTATTTCACATCTGGAAGTAGAGAAATTAACTGGGAATAGATTTGATAAGCTTACAATTTTTTGAATAATTTGACAAAAGTGATTTGATTCATACAATTTATCTGACATAAAGTTTGCATATAGAATGTTATGTTGAGTTGCTGCCTTGAAAATATTGCGTTTCTCCACAATTATTAGACTAATCGTTTAAAATTTTTAGTACTCATAAATGTTTAAAGTCGCTAGTTTGTATATTTCATCTATTCGTATCAACAAAATAGAAAAATGAAAAAAGTTTGACATCTGGTATTTCAAGTTATAAATTTTTTTAAACTAATATCTTGAATTATTAGTTCTCTTTAACCGTTTTAAAAGGAATAACCTTTCGTTTTGACCATATTATTTAGAAGTCTTCTTTTTCTCAGGTAAATTTATTGCATTCATTTATATATAACGGCAGCAATCCACCATATTTGATATAATATTCAATGTTGTTTTGTTTTAAATTTTAGATTATCTGGCTACTTTACCTTTTTATTGCTCTGGGAACAACAGCTGAGAGTTTGTGAGTGAATTTTACATTGATGAATTATATTTTTATATGCACTGCTGCAGTGTATTTTAAACATTTGATCATTAATTACTGTTCAAAAGAAGGTACAATCATCTGATAGGCAATAATATAGGCTCCAACCATTTCCTTTTTTTAAGTCAAGCTGCTTTGTTCACTATTGCAAAATAGAAGGAGGTTAATACTTAACAGTCTTATGGAATGAAATGAGAATGCTAAGAATTGCTTACCTTTAAGCTTATAGTGAGTCATGGTCTCTCCTCCACGTACCAGTTCAGGTCACATCGGTTCACAATAGTTATACTGTTGTTCGTTTTATAAGCATGTTTCTGGTTCTGAAATATGAAAATAGAATTTCACACAGTGATTTTATATATCTATGTAAAACTATTCAGAAAATAGCTAAATAAAATGTTCTTTTTACAGTTTTTGTCCGTCTTTGGAGTTTATTGCCAACAACTTGAAGCTGAGCCAAAATATAGCAATATCCTTGAAAAATATCAAAATTACTTTTATAATTTTTATTTTTTGACAAGTAGAATGAAAATAATGTATAAACAGCTTATTATTCTTGCTAGTTCACTTTATGTTAACCTTGTCTTTTTATACAAATTTCGAAACAAAATAATTTCATTTCTTAAATTTTCAATAATAATCACGGTATAACAGTTGTTGCTTTCGGTAACGGAGCTCCAGATATCTTCAGTGCAATTGCAGCTTTCACTAATTCAAATCCAAGCTCTTCTGGTGTAGCCATAGGAGCTTTATTGGGTAAGTAATTTTCAAACTACATGTGTATTAACCTAAATTGTGCATAAATGGGCCATTCCAAGCAAAAGTTGAATTCTATCTTTTGTTTTAAAAGTGTAGTGAAAGTCATTTTTTTGTATTTTTAATATCAAAAGACATTGGAATTTTATTGGACTGCATTCATTTCACCTTAAAAGTTGAAATTTTACCCAAGGTTCTGTTGGTTTTTAAAAAACGGCCTGAAACGTAGAAATTTTGGTATAATTGACATATTTTGTGATGATTCGTGACACAAAGGGTTTGATTGCGTGATACACTTTCATATGAAATAGACGAACTGGATTTGAGTTGAATAAAGTTTAAATGTTTGCAGTGCTGTAGGACATGTCTTCACCCATTTAACGATTTATTACCAGAATTTTAAGAGATGATAGAGGCCGCTGTTCCGAAGTGGAAAAATGTCTTGTAGTGTCACGTCCTGTAGTGTCACATACAATATGCACATTATTGGCATGGATTTACAGTGTTACATTAAGTAACTTGAACGACACATGGAAGGGTCCTTCAGCTACTGCACCAGAAAATATTATGGGCTCCTGCTGTACCATCGCAAAAATTTACAGCAAAACACAATGTAACGGTAATGCATGGTGGATTTGCCGTCCTGTAGTGTCACGCTATATTTTACTATATTTTTTATATCCACTAAGTAAGTCTTGTGAGTAACTTTTGTTCAATTTTTTCCATATTCAATAAAGCAACTGATTGGACAATGAAACAAACCATGTAGCTGAAAATGTAAAAATATATTGAAGCTAACAACATGCAAAATTTCTGGAATTGTCATGTAGTGTCACTTGGAATAGCCCAAATGCGTAAAATGTGGCATTTTTAAAAGATGTAGGCTATTTACAGGGTAATAGGTGATATAGTGCCAAGAGGAAATGTAGGCCCAGTCTAAATTTTGAATAAAAATACTAAAAAAAAGTGGAATGGACTAAGCCAGGGGTGTGCCAAATTCTTGGTCGGTGGGCCATATAACCAACTTCAGACATCCAGCAGGGCCACACAAAAAAATTAGCTTTTCCATGTACACAATGAATTAAAAAATTCTTGCAATGCCTAATTTTGAAATTTTGGATTCTTGTATTTTGTTTTCTTAAAGATCGGAGTCAATATTTCTTTTATTCATTTTTTAACCCAGATTCAAACTCATCTTTCAAATGGCTTCAAATTTCCCAGCCCGGCTAATATTTTAAATCACTGCTATCGCATGGTTCCGTGTACAAGAATTTTAAAAATGTGTATGTTTATATTGTCTTAAAATAAATTAACTTGAAATTTTTTTTTTAAATTGTAAATGTATTATATGTATTGTGTTTATGAAATACTTCTTTTTATCTATTTTTCAACCTTAATTAAGGTGCTGGAATATTTGTTACTACTGTGGTAGCTGGATCAGTCGCAATCACCAAACCATTTGAATTAGCGAAACGTCCGTTTCTACGAGATGTCACTTTCTATCTTGCTACTGTATTTTGGACATTTTGTTTGCTTTATAATGGGAAGATTGATTTACCTAATTCCATAGGTAAGATTGAGCTGTTAGTTAATTATTATCAATGGAGTGCTGTTATAGGAGCGTACAAAAAGCATACATGTGTATCATTTAATTAAATTATTGTTAGGATGTATTAGTATTTTTATAGTGGTATATATAGTCTATTACAGGGACAGATTGAATCAACCAACAAGCCATAGTTTGGCCATATTAGGTCTATACACTTAACATTTAAGCATTGCTAATCTATTTCGATATATATTTTTTTTTGCCAATCAAGGCGAAATAGCAATGCATCGTATTTACTTATAACAAAATGCAATACATTTCTATGCTATGTTAGTCTGTGAAGCATATTCAATGTAAACACAGAACACTTTATTCTTTTACTTATATTAAGCCATGTGTCAATATACTGCGGTTTACACTTTACAGAATAAATATTATTGGAAATAGCAGAAGAATTTTCTATTATGCCATCAGCTATTGATCATTATATCTGAATGGAATAGATCTGTTTTATAAGAATAAAGCAGTCATTTAATAAATGTGTCCTATAAATTAAATTTTTTTAAATTCTAGCAGTTTTGAAATTCAGTTAATAATACTGATATCTCAGATTCTACTTCTAATGCTGTTTTTGGTAAGGCCGATCACTAAACTAGTATAAAAAAATAAAATTACCCGCGATACACAAATATTGTCCTTGAGATGACCCATGATGCTTACAATCATCTTCTTGTGCTGTTAAAAATTTCCTTCCTGCTTTATATTGTGTCCTGAATGATGAACTGTCGTATTGATATGTTTTGTCTTATTAATTAAGAGCTTGTCATAAATATTATGATCATTTTTTTTACCTTAAAATTCAGTTTTATTTTACCATTTTTTTGTTTTATATTTCAGGGTTTCTGCTTCTTTATATTTTTTATGTCATTGTTGTTCTTGTTGGCCGTTATGTCAATCAAAAATTAAGAAAAAGAAATGCAAACAATAACCAAGGTGAGTAAATTTAATATGCTTTCTCATGTTACTCTTAAACCTGACGTTTCAGGTCAGATATCAGCAAGATACAGTGGAAACTCTACTTACGAAAGGCTCTGGATACAAAATATCCAACTTTTTCCAAAAATATTGCTTCGACTAACAAAAAATTTTCTACATATGGAAGACCGAAAACCTGAATAAAAAAAGCGTATAGTGATATTTGTTTGTCAATTTAATGCAGTGCTTGAAGCAGGGATGTCCAATTCGAATAACGCGACTTCCGAATATTGTTTTTTGTGTTTATAAGTATACAGAATATGGCCCACAAATCCGAGCGCCGACGTCCACGTTTTGATTTCAAACATTTTGCAATTATTTTATTCTTTTCGTAATCAAGCACAGACTTGTGCTGCACAGTAATAAATTACAGTCGACATGAAAGGGTTTCAATTAGCGCCGACATGAAGTGCTTATAAATACATCGAGGATGTTTTTGATTGAAAATATTTTACACTTATCATATATTTTAATTTAGTCGAGATAGTTTGTGTGGCGTCGGCAATGAATCTAAAAGCAAATTGTTGTTATTAATTGTTTCCTTCCTCGCATTCGATAGTAACCCAACAGAACTGGAAATTTTTCCATGTCTTGCAATTTAGAGCATATAAATGAGCTCTTTAATATTATTTAGTAGCAATCCCGGAATTTATTGTTATCCCGGCATCGTTGATACCAATATCGTTCAGTTTAAGCTGACGGTTTTAAATTATAATCAAAAATAAGATCACAACAGCCCACATGAAATATTCAAATCAGCGCTGACGCGAACAGTCATAATTATTGGCGGATGGGAATCGGGTTCACTAATTTGATTATGACGATGATCGCGTGATAACTGAATCTACGAATGGTTTCATAGCCACAATGAAAATTGAAGCCTGTGATGGGCCACCCACGGATAAATGCAATGTGTTTCACTCAGTTTCAGTTGCCCGCGAAATTCATTGAGAAGACGATTATACACGTAAGTGTGTGTAACAAAAGAAGATAAATTATGAAAAAAATCGAACCAGAAAAGCAAACAAAAAAATAAAAAAACGGAAAAGCAAAACAAAAAATTTCATTATGCAGTAATCTAATTCTGACTGTATTTGTTATGGATTTTAATCATTAATATAATTTATACAAATATTATGTCCCAGTTTTGTGGCAACTTGGAACAGATTAGGGCATTTACAAGTGAAATATTACAGAATTTTCTACTGAATGAATTAATTCCGTAGGTAGAGTCGTCACTGTATTGTAAATGTAGTTTTATTATTCCATAAGAATATTCATAAGATATTTCAGTTTTAATTATTATTTTTACGTCTTTCACTTATAAAGCCCCATTTGGACCACTATTTGGGCACAGTAATTTTGGTATTGCTGTTATCGATATGCTATCCGTAATAACAGTCTCCAAAAATTGTTGAAAAATAAAAAAAACTTATATATTAGAAAACAATAGCAAACATGTAAAACAGCTGTGCCCAAATTCCACAAATTCAAATTAATTTTTTTCGCTTTAAATTTTTTATGAAAAATGAAAATAATTTTACTTTAGGTAAACAGTATGATGAAACATCACCTCTCATAAATGAGCCTGATGATGACCCTGTCGTAATATTAGGGTGAGTTTTCGAAATAATTTATTTAATGACGTGACCTCTATAGAATTGCCTATTGCAATATCGAACAGGTATCCAGTTTACACATCACGTAGTAATTATTATTATAAAAGCATGTTTCACTCATTTCTGTTATGTTCATTAAAAGAAATGGATATGCAAAACTTGATAGCTATTTATTGAAAAAAGATTGAGAAAATAAATTTAACCAAGTTACCAAATAAATTGTTTTCCTTCGTATTTCGTTATATTTGGCAGTTGGAGTTTTCACCTATTCTAGTTTATAGTATATTATGATATGATAAACCATTTATTTTGACTGTTAAAATTTTTCTAGTCACATCATTTATACATGACCAAGATTCATTAAGATTTTTTCATAACAAAATTTTTTTTTTTCCTATTTTCAAAAACTAAAGTCTAGGGCAGTGGTTCTCAAACTTTTTGAGCTGCACCGCCCCCCCCTTTTTAGAAGTCTCGTGCCCCGCCTCAAAAAGAACTAGCTAACAATAAGCTACAAATAACAGATAGTAAGGCGAAAGTATGTATTAATCTAATCTAATACTTTTATTTTTAATTAGCATCACGCCCCTCACAAAATTGTCTACGCCCCCTTTGTGGACCCACCGTTTGAGAACCACTGGTCTAAAGTATATTTTCTATATTTAAGTTTGTCAATATCTTTTCTAGGCCCACCGATGAAGAGGGTGACTGGGTTGAACAACCATTACGAGCTGCCCATGAACATGACAAAATAATAGATGAAGAATTGCTGAATCATGCTGTAGATACGCATCATCATAAACATGATCACCAAGAAGTAACAGAATCTTCTGACAGTGGTAGGTTCCCTACTCTAAATTCTGTGATTCTCAAGATGCAGAGCTAAACTGGATATGATTTATTTTTGTCCAATATGAAAGCTATTTTTCAGGAAGTAAAATTCTATCGTGATAGTTTTGATAGATAGGTCAAGGAAATTTTAATTTTGACTCCTGCTATCAACACATTATGAAAATTTAGAGCAAAAAACTTTGATATATGCTAGCCTTGTTTGGTCGTCTGTTGGGAATGCTTAGTCAGTGTAATGGGACTTGATCCGAGGATTTGTACCCTGCGACTCTTCAACCCTTGGGCTTTTCTACTGCATTGTAAAATTGTATATGTAGAGATATAATTCAAACTTTTGAACTTTTTTTGCAGGATCTGACACATCTGAGGACATTGCTGTTGCTTATTCAAAATTTGGAAAAGCTTGGAAATTAATTAATCCTATTTCTAGCAAAGATTGGAGAAAAATGTCATTTCTTGTTAGATTCTTAGTAATTTTACAGGTTTGTATCATTTACTTGGTAATTCAACCAGTTGATTACATCTACATCTAAAACAAATAATTTGGTATTTCCATAACATGCTGTACTTTTAGCCAAACTAGATGCTGTATTCCACTTCATAGCTGTTTTTTAGTCATATTGACATAAACTGCTTCAACTTTCTCGTCAATATGTATTGCCTATTACGTATTTCTACACTTTCATTCTTCATAGTCTCAGTAGTTTTGGCACTTTGGTAGTCGCCTTAACCTCCCTCAGAGATGAGTGTCCTTTGTTTTTGAGTGAGTGCACATGACCTTGCTTTGAGCAAATTTCTCTGAAAAATATGTGTTAGCCATCATATTGGTGTTTCTAGTCTAGAATAAATATGTAAATTCTGTCAAATGGTTTGCCAGTATTTTCATATTAATGATTACCGGTAGTAAAATTCTTTTTTTCTTACAGGTACCTATCAAGTTTATGTGCAATATAACAATACCAGTTGTGAGTTCTGATCCCAAAGTAAATGACTGGAGTAGGATACTATCTTGTATACATTGTATAACTTCGCCAATGTTCTGTGTTGTGGCAGCAAAAGGTAGGTTAGACACAAGTAATTTATTTATTAGATACTGAGGGATTATATAAATTTGAAAAACAAAACAAGCAAAAAATGTGTACAGGGGTTTCAAAATCAGCAGTCCTCAGAAAGATTTTGACGAAGTTATGAGCTTTGTGTGCATAATTTTAAAAGCAAATCGATTTTTTTGAAAAATAAGTGTACTATACGAATATCACATTTTAGGTGCTTCGGTGAAAGTGGGAGCGTTACCACTGTGGGCTTTATTTCTGATCATTGGTGCAACTCTTGCTGTTATTGTTCATTTTACATCGGAAGAAATGAAGAGGCCGAAATATTACTGGGTGAGAATATTATTCTGGTAGTCCAAGCGTCTCCAAAAGTAGTCTGAATAGAATAGAATTTTAAGAATAGAAAGTATATTTTTGTCTGGAAATGTGTAAAAAAATTTATGGTAAAAATTGTCATTAAGTGCAATTAAAAGCTGTCCAATTGATATTCAAAAAAAATTTTTTTTTCAATGCATTAGCCTAAAAATGAAATAGGACATTTTGAAAGAATGGTTAACCATTTTTTTCCACTGTTTTTTTTTAATTTTTGACTTTCTTTGGCACCCCTTCTAGCAAATTTCGCTGTTTAACTTTAGATTCTTTTTCAAGGCTTTCGCTTACCTCGGTTTCATAGCATCGGTAATCTGGACTTACTGTATTGCAAATGAAATCGTCAATTTACTGCAAACATTTGGAGCACTTTGGGATGTTTCCAACGTGATTATGGGCCTTTCATTACTCGCATGGGGAAATTCAATAGGTGATTTGGTAGCGGATGTAACTCTGGCAAAACAAGGTTTCCCAAGAATGGCAATTTCTGCATGCTTCGGTGGACCATTCTTTAGTATCCTTTTTCAAAATTTATCAATTCTAATAAAATGTTTTAATAAAATATCTTATTGGACACAAAATGTGTATATATGAATTGTTTTGTTATTATGTTGTTGTTTTTATTGATATTTTTCTTCTTTTTGTTATGAAAAAATCGTTTTTTAACTATTGAAATTTTAGGTGGTTGAAGATTGTATTTTTCGCTGGAAGGCTATTATATTTATTTCCTTCAAAAATTTCTGTGGTTTGAGTGTGATGACATCATCAAAAATTGCGCAACGTGTGATGGTTTTATGAAAGTCGTGAACACTGCGGTACCGGTAGACTAAGGGCGGTAGTCTACTGTGACAGATTGCATACCCGCATTTCATGTCCTTTGTGTCTCGAGAGCATCGCTCTCTTGGTTTTAATAAAAATTGTGTTAAAACCATTTTTGTAATTTTTATTTGGTGAACTAAGTTAAATTCTTGTATTTTAATTGAAAAAAGTGAGTTAAATTTCCTTAACGCTACCTTTCTTAGATTTGATTATAGGAATAGGTTTACCGTGTACAATTGCAACAATAACAAATGGACATCCTATATTGGTAAGTATTTATTTGATTATTTTTGTTATAATTCTAGTATAATGATTAAGAATTTGGTATAGTACGTTACAAATACAATCGGACTACGCCATGCGATTTGATTTGCAACAAAGAATGATATAGATATAGAAAATTGGCGGATACTAACCTATGTTTTGATGGTTTTTTTTGCGTAATTCATTTCCTCATTACTGCCTATCCCAGTTCACTTTACTGAGCACCTCAGTGGTCTCATGTAACTTCGATCAGAGATCAGCTTGAGGTTTTACTTGGATAAAAAAAAAATTTTTAATTTACACTTATATTTTTTTTATGTTTTTCCAGATCAAATTCACTTTACTTGAAGCTACATTAGTTGGAAGTCTTCTGTTTTCTCTCTGTTTCTCATATATTGTTGTACCAATACGTGGATTTCAAATGACCAAAATATACGGAATCATTTTAATAGTTATTTACATTGTTTACTTACCGTTAGCAATTCTTGCCGGTACTGGGGTAATTTAGTACCAATTTTTTTCATGTGGCAGAATAATTTTGTGTTATGCACATTATGTACAAATACCTTTATTACAGAATATTCTGTATTTTAATTGAGTGGTGAATTTAATTTAAAGTTCATCATGGACTTTACCTCAAGGTGAGAAATTTTGTACTTGTTACGTATAGAAAAGTGTGAATAGAATATATGCCAGTCACATGACCAAAAAGATAGAAGGTTCTGTTAAATAGAGGTAGCTGGAGATTGAGAAACATTTATCTTGACCATATAAGTAAAAGACCTATTTTTTTTTTTGGAAATTCATGGCATAAAAATATTGACAAAATGGCAAAAAATTGAATTTTTTCTTATGTCGAAGTAGACAATCAATTCACGTTGCAAGATTAAGAAAAACGGTACTTCATTCACTCCACTGATTCAATACACATTTCCTATCACTAGCTAGCTAGCTACCTCTTTTCTACAGTTCGACAGGATCTCATATCTCACTCATTGTGCATGCCAATTTCAGCAATATTATTGTGATGGAAAATTTTGGAAAAAATTATTATTTTAACGGCGCTATTTGATTATTAAACGTGCATTAATTCTTTTTGTTCTTTTCAGTAATTACCATTTCTTCCATCTTAGAAATTTATAATTACTTTTTTATTTCTTTTTTGTATATTATATGGTTGAATCATCCTCAAGAGTGCTTTATTTGGTTCAATTTATTTTCTTTTTTTAGGCAAGCAATATTTGTGCTATGCAAATTGCCTCGCTTTCTATTAGTATTAATCACTTAACATTGTGTTATTACCTTTGAACTCCATGATTGATATCTTACTTAATTTAATCACTCTATCGCATAAAATTAGTTGCCTGGCCCATTTAGCTTGCTCACTCTAACCGTTAGCTTAAGTCCGACCCAGAAAATAGTACCTAACGGACCATACTTCAAGTCACATGGTCCAACAAAACAGGTTTTAGTTTCAAAATGTCCTCTGTAGCTAGCTTTGGTACTGTCGTCTCGACTCGTCTGTCATATTAACAGACTATAAAATATCTTTTATATGTTTAGTACTCTTTTAAAATGATTAAATGAAGTTAATTTTGTAATTAATTCATGAGTACATTTAATTTAATATAATTATAATATTATTTTAAAATAATCAGAAGTGGTATAAAGATTTTTTAACATCTACTTTTTTTATCTTTATGCTTGGAGTTTTACTTCATACCTTGATAATTACTTATGTACGGTGCAATATGATATTCTCTTAACACCTTATGTTAGGCTATAAGTTTGAACTATTATGTTATGTATCAGATATTACTGGATTAAAAGATGTTTTTGCCATTGGAGTTTAATTATATGCAATAAATAGTTTTCTGTAGTAATCTTGCCTTCGGAACATTTGTGTGATTGATCTTAACTTTAAAGTATTGTATTTCTTTATAATGTTAAAAGTAATTGAGACTTTGATTGTAATTGATATTCATATGTTCAAATATATAAATAAATATGTAACGATTGTATTATAAAAGGTTTTATTTGAATAGAAATATCATAGGCATTTGTGGTATGAAATGGACAAAAACAGGGTTATATTCAACTCGGTATTAATGTGTGGCTTTTTCCCTATTTCTTAATTGCGCAAATTCAGTACTAATTCGGCTCACTCCGTCAGCCCTCGAAATTTCAACTATCTGACCCGGTTTCATGCGTCGTGTCCACTTGTTTGTTAGTCGGCCACATGTCGGGGACAATCGGCACCGGATAGTAAAAAAACGACTCTAGCTCCGACCTTCCGGGAATCAAGTTTTTATAGCAAAAACTTTGGGTATACAAGCCTTCTTTAATAGGGTTTCTGCAGACTTCTATTGCCAACATTGAAAGCATAGAATTCTAAATCCGGAAATTTTTAACACTAGGCAGTTTGCCAATTTGACTAAAGTGGAAGCATGTCAAACTCCGACTACATGGCTCTGCACGTAACGTACCTGAATGGATATATTTTCGAGTTTTTATATTGTGCTAACATTTTCAAGCCGTATATAAATATAACACACGTATGAAAATATCACGGATAACGAATATAATAAATAATATTGATACGAATAGCGAAGTTGTCTATAGGTGAATTCGGCCGTTTTCACCGCGCAGTTCTAGTTATAACCTTTCCATGCAAAGCTGTTAACAATTCCCATATTCCTTATCCGCCCTTTCGGTACTCTGTCGCTGTCTACTACGTTTACAGAAGAGTTTTTACAAAGTCGATCAACAGTCTTCGTGATTGCAAGTTCTTCAGATCTCTTGTGCTTGTGGTCGTCTGGCCACCATTGTCTGAAATCAAACGGATAGAATAATTATTAAATTAACAATGCCCTTTTGAGATGAAAAAGATGGACAAGAGCCAAAAAGCAGCGAAATTAATAAGGCTGGACATCGAACAACTATTCTTCCGGAGCGGCCCGTGTCTTCGTACATGGGTGATTCTTTTATACAGTGGTTCAGCGGGCAGATTTCTGGTTTATCCGTGTAACTCCGTTAGCGGTATCCGGTAAGATGTGGAAATATTAAATTCGAATTTTCAGAAAACGTAGAAAAACAAAAAATATAAATTGAATGTTAATAAAATGCCCACTGAACTCCGACGCCTAAACGCATGGTTTATTCTTTCGTCAACACTGCATTAACTAGTTAAAACATTAAAGTTTCTATTGATTGTTTACTGCGTGGCTTCCAAACGGGGCCTAGGGGTCCACAGTGCAATTTCACGGGGTCCGTAGATGAAGTGCTAATTATATTAAATGAGTACATTTTATTGAAGTTGTTGCACTTCGTACGTGGTTCAATAAACAGAAATAAACGAAAGAGCACCTGTTAGATTAGCGCTTGGATTAGTGTTAAATTGGATCTCGATGAATAACAAGCAGCCACAAGGTTCCCACTGAGACTTCTGTTAGTCTTTTTACCAATAAATTTTGTTAGAGAATTAAAAACTTGAATTTATTTTAAAAAAAAATTGTTTTGGGTACTAGGAAACCAGCGGGCAGTGTCTTAGGGTTCTGAATTAAAACGGGAAATAATTAAATTACCCTATCATAGCTACACCAATTAAAAGGCTTTGATCCTAGAATATCATAGAACCCGAACCAAACCAAAAGCCCATAACTCGACAAGCAAGGGCCACACGCATACCTTTCTGGCAGTCCAAAGTTGAATCTGGTAATAATACTGAATACACTAAAAAATAGGCGCTCCGGAAGTATTTGTGACAAGATGACGCACAACCTGAACAACCCTGAACTGGTACACATACTATGTTCAGGTTGTGCGACCTCTTAGTACGAATACTTCGGGGAAACCAAAAATAGTCCTATTAAGACAGCAAGTGACTTAACTTCGATATCTCCAATAAACACTTAGGGGCCCATACAACATTGAATAAAAATGCAGGGGCCACAGCGAAAAATAGTTAGAAATCCCTGGTTTACTGTGGGATTTTCGAACTTATTCTTACCGTATTTTTCTTGGTCGTACCTTTCGTAACCTTTCCACTGATTGTTCCAATTCAAATTCTGTCAATTTTTGATGGCCAAGTTTCAAGCGACACTTTGGAATTGTGCCCCATGGCTTTGTAGGAGGCATATTTGCCTTATACTATGCGGGTTATTCCTGTAGAAATATGAAAAATATGGATTAGGCTACACTGCGCTGCTTGTTCAAACTAGACTACTAGGAAAACGTAAACTCCATTCTTTATTCGTCCTTCTAGCTAACCTAACTATTCTCATCACACACAATGATCTTCAAATAGTATCACATCAAAAACTGAACGATTTTGTTATCATTTTCACACTACACTGTCGTGAATCCAAGTACTACTAAAAAAAACTATTATATGCTTCAGCTATATATATATACATCGCTTTTATTGAGAGATTGTGCGACGGGCATAGAAATTCGCAACAATAACCATCGCCTATTGTGTTATTTGTTGTGATTAAATTTAGAGAGAGTATTCGATACATATATTGTGCGTGTGCTGACGTAGAAACACAAAGATGTTACATTCATTACATTGCTTTTGATCGTAAATTGTTTCTCGTATTTACCTCTACCCAGGTTTTGTTAAAGTAGACACTAAACGTGGTGATTTAATTAATAGGTTAAAAATTACTGCTTTACAATTACATTATTGATTACCACCCTATCTTACTTGCCACTCGAGAATTTCGGTCATATCCTATGTCAGGTAAAACAGAGATATCATCAATCCACAGCAATCAAATCAGACGTTTTCGAATATAGTCGGCTATTGTCACAACGTTCTGTACTCTTCAAAAACTCGTCGCTATTTTAATATCCGTAATTGAAAATTAGTATATATATTTTAAAACGTTTTTGAAAGAGGTAAAATTAACAATTTTTATAGTTTACATCTGGATTAATATGGGATCAACAAATCTCGACGATACATGGACAAGCCGAGTCTCTTGAAGATGTAATATCGGGTACAATTTTACTTGATCGCCTTTCTATTCGAGCCTAAATAATCTATATCGAGTACACTGAATTGACATATCAAGTTTTTGTGCCTCAAATAGATGTTATTTTGGTTTGAAAGCCTTAACGTCTTTATTCAAAGTCATTCACAGGCTGTATATTATCTCACTGAAGCTATTTATATTCGCACAATGAATATTTTACTAAACTCAATGCCCAACCCAAATATTTTTTATTTTTCCCAACAATGGTCAATCACGAGCAGCAAAATCGCATAAGTACTCCAAATTGTGTGCCCGAAGCATGAAACTATTTTTAAACAAAATATTATATTTCCGGGAAAAATCGGTTTGTTCCGATCCACAAATAATTTTTTTAAGGCGGTGTGTGGGATTTTGAAGTCACGAGGAGTTCTACACCCATCCTCACAGACTTAATTCATGCAGCTAGCTGGCATAATTGATTAGTTAGCTACTCGTGTTAGACATGGGAGCCGGACGAGTGGTTGTAGTTTGCCAGAATGGGATTTTTTTCGATCACTTCTACAGTTTGGTGAGTTCAAAGGCCAGTGTGAATTTATTATTTGAGAAACTGGTACTACATGCAGTTGCAAATGATATTGAATTAATTACAATAATAAATGCACTATTTATTATGCAGTAGAAACGAAGTCCCTGAAAAATAGAACAAATCTACTCCAAGCGAATTGTACAAGACAATTTAATATATATGATAAAACAACAATCCCGAAATCCCGGAGTTTAGGCTTGTTACTCGATTCCTGATTCCCAGAATTTTCAAGAAGGTAATTTTTGTCGGATCAATATGCCGATTTTAAATATATTTCATTTTTATTGGATTTTTTCATAGGATATAGTTTCCCTTCACTTTACTGTATCTAGTGCTTAACATCCGTTGTGCTTTTATGTATGGACCTTTCCCCGACCTTTGACCGCCGGAAAATTCTTCCTATACTTTATCATTGCAAAATTTTCGGGGCTATTTTAAGAGTGCTTTTGCGAGTTGGCGCCTATAAAATGGGGTATGTGTTCCAAGCCATCATTATGATTCATCGCATACAACAATCTGTTTTTTAAAAGTACCGGTAAATAATTTCAGGCTAGTCTATCACAGCTATTTCTACACTAATTTTTTATTATTGCAATTAAATTAAAACTCCTAGGAAGACAGAGTGATCATTGAATTATCTGATTTTTATTTAAGTTTCCGAAACGCAACTGAAAATTAACGAATAGAGATAAAAAAAAAACGCGAAAACGAGTTAATGTTTACAACCACACTTGAAAATCTGCCTGAGTGAGAAAAGTGTCTGAGCGGATCACTTCAAAAGTGTCACTTTTTGCATCTACCTGATTGGCCAATGTCACGAAGTAAACAAGGAAGTTGATGCTCGGGGAAAGGTCCATAAGATTTCGATCACGCCCTATTATATCCCGACACTGGCATCATGCATTTTACAGCTAAACCATAATTAGCTAAATTCAGAAAAAAATCGCGTCATTTGTGCAATACATCCATAATAATATGCTTACTCCTGTAATACCGATGTATGGGATAGGACCAGTGGTGGGATTCAGACGGTTCGCACCGGTTCTATAGAACCGTCTCAAGAAATTTTTTGAGATCAGCAAACCGGTTAGCTTTACTGATTACTGTCAATGTTCTGTTTGTAACAGAACCGGCTGTTACCGGCATATGATATTTGGGACCTCCTGAAGTATGCGCACCAAGATGGCGCACAACCTGAACTCAGGTTGTGTACCAAGTTATTGTTCAGGTTGTGCGACATCTTGGTGCGCATACTTCGGGAGTACCGATATTTGTGATGAAACCGGCTGACAAAAAATTTGAATTTCACCACTGGATAGGACCCACCAACTGTGTTAAAATCAGGGTTTATTTTATTACTAAAACAGTTCACTGGGCATTCAAAGTTTGGCGATAAAGATGGAGAATGTCTACCGACGTAGGAAAGCTAATCGTATGGGCGCAATCTGGCCGTGTTATCAATGATAACGGCCTGTTTACAACTCAATATTACATTAAATATATATAATTTCTACTCAAATTTTCAACGTATCCGTTTACTTTCAAAAGTTTCCAATACTGAATAATCATGCGATTGTTGAGTGAGAATCACGATGTCAAAATTCCTAATTTCGTCCAGAAATCACAGCCCCAGTGGTAGCCAATACGTACATAGAATTATGATAGTTATTGTAGTTGATTTAACTTGCTTCAAAACGAAATCGGTGGAAATTGGTTTCAGTAAGATAAAAAATGAAAAAGTTGCGTATGAAAAATACACATTTATCCAAAACCTGACTTTTGATCTTCCTAGTAAACTAGGCTACTAACATACGGCTAGTGCCATTTTAATATTAAGGAAGTATCCATTTTAGTGATTATCCAAGTGAATATAATAACCGGTTATATGCACTTTGTTGAGGACATGCGAGTATTTCAGTGGGACCACAAGCATATTAGTAGATTACATATTTTTTCATATTTCCCTATACAGATCAGAAACTAGCTGTCTATAAAATTCAGCAATGAGACTTTCATATTAATCGTCAGTTATTCGAAGCCTATATTATTATAGTTTATTATTTCTTTTGAAAGAACTCCTTTTCACCATAGAGCTTCCTTATGTCATTTCTGCAACAAATAGTTTTTTGTAATAATTTTTTGTTTTACTTTTTCAATGAATTCAGACCGATTTCCGATTGCTTTGCTTCCGATTGCTTTGCTTCGTGTTGACGATTCTATTTCCTACATCTAATTTAATTTTAAAGTTGGACGTTTGCACCCAAGTATTTATGCTTGAAATATATATTATTTAAATTTACTTTAATGTGTTGTTTGCTGTTTGGGCTGTAGGGTAAGTGAAAGGGTATCAGATTTTTATTTTTTAGATTTTGCGCACTTTTCTGATTTTCCGCTATTTGTTGGTTTTGCGCGTATTTCGCTTCTTTGTTTTATTGTATCAAAAAGTCGAAATGAACTTACTTATTTCAGTGGAACTTAGGGTTTTATTGGGGGCAATAGACCCGCTCAGTAGCTGATGTAGCCTTAGCCTATTGGGCATAAGAATAAGATATCATTTTCATCACGTTGGATAGGAAAGTCGATAAAACGACCTAATCGTATGGCGTACTATGGCCCCTCGTCCGGTTACCAGTCCATGTCGGGTACGTAATTGGCTTGCCAGATATTTGTTTTATATGAGGCAGTTGCGTGACCCGGCAGTGGAGAGTCCAGCAATCCTCTCTCACATAGTTATCCCCTCTGTGCCCGAACCTGCCAATCTACGCAAAATTCGCCTTATGTGTGCACTTTTTCTTAATTTGTAAAATTTCGAGATTGTTCAAGTAAAAATTCCAAAATTTCAGAATAGGATATCATTTTTATTCCGGGGATGTTGCAAGGACTTGATTTGTAATTCATGCACTAAATCCCTCGTTTGGTTGGCACACAATATATAAAGATACGATGTGATATTTCATTAATGTGGCTTCTTAACAAAAATGGCTAGAATTGTTTTGAGTTAAGCAAAAAATTTACAAAAAAAGTTGCATTCAAAGGATATCGCTATTTTAGTATGTACATAGCTGACATAGCCATTTTAGTAGGAAGTTGTCGCGATTTTAAAAGGTGGGAAAATAGCGGACATAGCCATAGCCATTTTAGTAGGAAGGTATCGAGATCGCGATTTTAGAAGGGACATCGCCATTTTAGTAGAGACATTGCGGACATGGTCTTTTTATTAAGTACAGAACAAACACAGCCATTTCAGTAGGGACGTATCGGGATCGTGATATTAGAAAAGATATACCGGTACCGGTAGTCATTTTAGTCGGGAAATAGCAGACAGTTTTTTGTTTTCAGCTTTAGCTCGATGCGCGACACCACCGAGCCACACGGTACAGCGGTACGATACATGGCAATGTTATATCAGTACGGTATATAGGCTACCGGTATTCTCATTGTACAGTTGTATAAATATACGGTAACAGTTTGATAACTGCCTCTTCAATTTTTTTTCTTCAGCTGCCGTGTGCGTAATATTCTTAAAACTGGATTATGGCGCGGCGGTGTGGCTCAACGGGCTAAGCGCTAGGAATACGCTCGCCACCGCACCTCTAATTACTCTACGTGGGTTCGCAGGTTCGAATCCCATGCAGGGATGGCTATGTGCGAGAGGATTGCTGGACTCCTCGCCGTCGTTGGGTGGTTCACGTAACCGCTGGTCGGTTACGGCTTCCTCCACCAGACCACCACCAAGTCCATGCTTTCGAAAAACATACAATATATCTAATCCCGTGCGCGACTTGGAATGGTCACCGGACGAGAGGCCGTGGTTTGCCATATGGATAAGCCGTCTTATAGGCTTTCCTCTTCCCTGGGATAAATATGTAAATCCTATCCTTGATACGAACTATCAGATGTAGGGTGGTGTAGCCAGTCTGCGGACGATTTCATTCAAACCGCTATAAAAAAAAAAACAATATTTCTAACCCGTTAATTTTTTCACCGTAGGTGCATTGGCATTTATTCTACACGCTGAACTTCGAATTAACTTTCTACGACCAGGGGTTAAAGCTATACAAACCACCAAAGTACGACACTCTGAAGACGTATTTGCGACCGAACGACCAGTGTGCGACCACGGATTTCAAGCCTTGAACATCGTTTCTGCTGCGTCGAGACTAGGGCATACGCAGCCATGCGTGAAAAAATGGGCTTCTAATTGCATTTCTGACCGTCATATATTTTAAGAACACGATTATTTCAAACAAAATTCTTCAAATTATAAACAAAGCACCGCATCACAGCAATCAAACAGACAAAAACACGGTGGTCGCAAATTAGTTGACAAAGATATTATTGACGTATTGGAAATGCGCACCCCCTACTCCCCCTCCTTTGAAGATAGAAACGCGAAACTTTAAAGATGGGTAAAAGAAACACAACTCTACCCACCTGCCAAGTTTCATCTCTTTATCTCTTATATTTGTATGGATTTTCAAGCTTTTTTGAAGGAACAATGGGTAGTTGGCGACATGGTAAAATGGTCCGTTTTTTTTCTTCGGTCAGGTTTTCGGTCATAACTTTTTTATTTGTGGCCACATTTTAGTGTAATTTCGTAGAGCTACGAGGGATAAGTGGACGATAACGCGTGAGAAATATCGGCGCGTTTCGTTAATTTTTTCGGCATTAATTTAATCGATGAAGTTGATGGTCGCAGATAGGTCATGGCCGCAAAGTGGGTAAGCCACCCTATATGAAGTAGGTATATTAATGCTGTGATTACCATACGACATTGGACAGGATGGGATAGGATTTACATATCTATCCCGGGGGAGAGGAAAGCTGATAGGACGGCTTATCCATATGGCAAACCACGGCCTCTCGTCCGGTTACCATTCCAAGTCCAGAAGTCGGGTATGGGATTAGTTATATTGTTTGTTTTCGGAAGCATGGACTTGGTGGTGGAGGAAGCCGTAACCGACCAGCTTGGGGGGTTACGTGAACCACCCAACGACGGCGAGGAGTCCAGCAATCCTCTCGCACATAACCATCCCTGCATGGGATTCGAACCTGCGAACCCATGCAGAGTAATTAGAGGTGCGACGGTGGCGATGGCGAGCGTGTTCCTAACGCTTAGCCCGTTGAGCCACACCGCAGCGCTTACTGTCTGTAGTCTTTATTTCATTATTTGAGCAAAGGCAGGAATATACCACCCACAGCCCCCATATCTATATCAAGCTTCTGATGGTAGTGTCTATATTATTAGTTTGTTTTTTCTTATGCTTATGCAACACAGCTAATAATTAGCCCTAATTAAATGCTTTTTGACAATTATGGCCGCTACTGAACAACAGGATTGGGTGTTAGACGATGGTACTGAAAAGCTAGCTGGGGAAATACAACTACGAAGCTATTCCAAGTTCATTTCAGGGTACTCCCAGCAACTTGCGGATTTGGAAACAGCTCTCGGAAGTTATAGCCTTGATGCATGGGATAGACATTTGGATCCGATTTCGTTGGACACATCTCCGCATGAAAGGACGTCACTTTTGGATTTGATAAACACAGAAAACAAAGTGTTGAATAAGATTATAATCGCGTTATCTTCTTTATGCCTCGAAGTACAGCATTTGGAAAAAGAGGCAAAGGAAGAATTTTATGATGCGTTATTGTTTTATGGCGAAGGAGTAGAAATAAAGGAAGAAGATGGAACTCGACAATCCCAAATTGGTCGTCTTTTGCCATTATTACAAAGATTGTCAAGCTTCGTAACAAGAGGAAAAGAAGTCTTAAAAAACATGATCTTACAACTTGCAGCACTACATAACAAAACGATGCCTAAAGTTATGGAAGTCGGACAAATTCACTTTACAACTGTATTTGAAAGTATCGGAGCGTTACTGCGCATCATGATTACTTTAGATGAAATTGTAGCTGCTAATACTGTGTTAAAGAACCAATGGATTCAATATAAAGTTGTGTTGAAGTCTGTATATCAGGATCCGTCTAAATATGGCGTCGATGCGGATAAAATAAAACCGTTTGAAAAAATGTTAGCCAGAATCGAAAGGCAGATTTTAGATGGTAAAATACTGGATCATTGCTGGCTACAAAATTATGACGACACTGGTATTCCAGTCAGTAAAAATACACTTTTTGCTGAAGAATTTGCTACCAATATAAAAATTATTTTTGGAAATGTAGAACCGAGAATTGGTGACGGAACTGAAACGAATCAACGGTTACAGTATGTGGAATTATGTGCTTTATTCGCTCTTCATGTGATGATTTTTCGAGACTTGGACAAGCGACTTTTTCGTCAATTGTGGGATGTTTACAAGAAGCTGCCGTGCGTAGTTTTGACTAGTAACGTCATTTGGTTCGCTGATGAGTTTTTGAAACGATTTGCTGGAAAAGCAATCGACAAGAAAATGTCTGATCAAGTAACCCAATCCAGACTGGCGTACTTGAATTCAAAACAGCAATCCTTACCTAGGGAAGCCCAAAGTTACTTTTTGACAGTAAGTTCTTGGCTTGTCAAAATGGAGTCTATACAGACGCAAGACAAATCAACTGCCGATCTCAATAACAAAGTCAAAATTCTATTAGAGGGAATATATTTATCTTTTGGTTTAAGTAACATGGTAAGCCAAGTGATGAATCTGCATGCAGCAATGCAAAAACCAATGTCAAGATCTGAAGTATTGGCTCTTTGTCGTATTATGGGATTAGCGAAAGCTATTGAAGACAGTTTTCATCGTTGTGCGATGCAGGTTATGGAAAATGAACAACAGATGGTGCAGCATTTACAATACCAAATTCTTGCTGGATTACAAATGGGGAAAAGAAGAATCGTAGTCGACAAAAAGTACAGCGATCGTAGGCTCGATATATTATCAGCTATCATGCTTGCTTCGAATTCCATTAACGGACCACCGACAGCTCAAAGAATTCTTGTTACAAAATTAGCCATCAGTATCGCCGATCAAATGAGAGTATTTAAAGATGAGGAATTAGGTGTTGTCAAGACGATGATCGACAGATTGATTATTTTTGGAAACAGCCTTAAATCATCTATTCGCAGAGCATCTGATTTTTCTTTCTTCTACTGGCATCGTGCAGTCCTTGGAATATTTTTTGACGGAGTTTGTCAAGATCCTACAGATGCAGGTCAAATGCCTTATATGTTTTCTGTTTTGAATGATTGTGTTCCCCATATACGTAGAAGCAAACATGTTGAAAACACAGAAGAACTGGTGAAACATTACTCCGAAGATGTTATAGCAATTTTAAAACAGAATCTGTTAGTGAAAGTATGCAAGGAGATTGAAAACGACCTACGCCTGTCTGTCCATACCCATTTAAAATTAGATGATAGAAACCCATACAAAGTTGGACTAAAAGGCCTTCGACAATTATTGTCCATAAAGCCACTACATTTTTTGAACCAGATGATTGACATAAAAGATTATGTGTCGCATTACATCGATACGACATTCTATAATTTGACAACTGTGGCTTTGCACGACTGGCGAACTTACGGAGAAATGAGAAATTTGGCTGTACAGAAATATCAACTCAGAATGCAAGAGGTTCATCTTCCAAACCAGACTCTTGAGCAAGGTCTTGATGTCTTGGAAATCATGAGAAATATTCACGTATTTGTTTCGAAATATCTCTACAACCTAAATAATCAGATATTTGTTGAAAAGTCTAGCAACAACAAGCATCTAAACACGATCAATATTCGCCACGTTGCGAATTCCGTACGAACCCACGGAACTGGAATCATGAATACGACAGTGAATTTTACTTTCCAATTTCTGAAAAAAAAATTTTACATTTTTTCTCAGTTTTTGTACGATGAGCACATCAAATCAAGGCTTATCAAAGATATTCGGAATTTCAAGGAAAATCGTGTCGCACTCGGACAGAGGTATCCCTACGATCGTGCTGACAGATTCAATAAAGGGATTCGAAAGCTCGGTCTTTCACCTGAGGGTCAAAGTTATTTGGACCAATTCCGACTGCTCGTTTCTCATATCGGAAATGCAATGGGATATGTTCGCATGGTAAGGTCTGGCGGAATTCATTATTGCAGTGATGCAATACGTTTCGTTCCTGATCTTGATGATATCGTGAGTTTCAATGAACTAGTACAAGAGGAAAACATAGGAGATGAAGTCAATGAAGCCGCGTCACATTTGGATACTGTGATTGATACCTTGTCGAAAAATTCAGCTGAAGGATCGGATTATTTTACCAAACTTGTTGATGTTTTTTCGCAAGAATTCCGCAGTCAGAAAAACATGCATTTACGGAATTTTTACGCGATTCTGCCACCTTTGACGCTCAACTTCGTTGAGCACAGCATAAGCTGCAAAGAAAAAATGAATAAGAAGAATAAACAAGGTGCCGCATTCACGGACGACGGATTCGCAATGGGCGTCGCATACATTCTCAAACTTCTTGACCAATATAAAGATTTTGATTCGCTTCATTGGTTCCAATCTGTAAAGCATAAGCACGAAGAAGACATGAAAAGCCAGAAAAAGGATGTGACATCTTCCTCTAAGAAGCAACAATCTTCTTCTAACATTACAGAGGATGAGAAGCTCCTCCAGGCAACATCTCTTGCTCTAAAAAGAATCTTAATTTATCAGAGAGAATTTGAACTTCTCTATTTTTCATTGAGCAGTGCAAGAATATTTTTCCGCGGAAATAAATCTGATGATGATGGAGATGAGAAACCATCTGAGGATACTACTCAAGACAACGCTAACAACTCTGGAAATGAGTCTACCACTCAACAACCTCCTCAACCTAATTCATGAACTATTATTTTTTGTGCTAACTTTCAATTTGCCTTCATTATATTATTATTATTGATTGTAACCAGGGAAATCCAAGACAAATCAAATATTCAAATAACATTATCTCAACTGTATTTTTAATACTAAATTATAATTCCAGTGATTCACAATGATTGTTAAAATTTGACCGTTCAACACAGGAGTGTGTAACCTGCGGGCCAAATACGGCTCACAAGTATAAATGGTGTGGCCCGCAGAGTAGTGACAGTTCTGAATTATGTGCAATCCGAGCGACGAGTTTTTAATTCAGTTCAATTTAGTATGTGCAAGTAATTCGAATCCCTTTGCGTTGCAAAGCCTATACCGGAATCCATTTATTATCTATGCCTATGATGCACCAATGCCGCAGGTCATAAGATTAATACCCAAACATTTTTGTGCCTGCAACTACTAGAAATTTCATGTTAAATAATGGTGCGACCCACGGTTTCACCCTGTTATTTGTAACTGGTCATCCTGTTTTAAAGGTTGCACACCCCTGGTTTAACATATTATTTATTCCACCTTTGAAAATTTTTTTTGAAATATACTTGGAATTGTGTGCTATTCTGGTCATCATTCTCTGATTGTAACTACCATTTTCTTTTTACATTATTTAAAAAAAAATTTAATTTTGTTCATATTGAGTTGCAAATTTAAATATTTAATTCCATGTAGCCATTATATTATATACCGGTAAGCCTGCAATTTTTATTTCTTATTTATTTAACAAAAATCTGTTTCAAACCAAGATTAAATGTATTATCGTCATTTTTTTTTTTAAAAGTAGTTAATACAAAAGGTTGTTTTCCCGTATATTAATGGGCAATGTGGAGACCATTTCTCAACACATGATATCAATTCTTAGTTAGGTATAAATTAACAACGATTGGTATTTTTTTAACTATAGCCTTTGGATCTAGAATTTTGAAACCTTATATCCAGTTAGATAAATTGTTGGAATCTGACATATTCAGTTGGTGATAGTGACTGAGAGCCTGTGATTAAATATGAGATTGTATTTTTGATTTGGGGATTTTTTTCTTTTGAATCGTAAATTTTGTATCACATTGTTAATGAGAATTCATTCCTTGTTATTGATTATCCGATTGATTTAAAATTCATTGTTTGTGATTAGTTTCCTAATATGTGCTTGTCAAAAAAGGGATAGGCCAGTATAGAAATCAGCCGTTTTTTTGTGATTACTATAATAGTATGTTGATGAATATTCATTGCCACTGATTTTCCTTGATTGTTGTAATAAAAGGGGTATTGTATACTTCAGTACTATTTGACGATATAGCAAAAAGAACAGCACTGGCACTCGGTTATTAGAATAAGATGATTCCGACTAGTCGTACATCAAGGATTTTTATATCAGCAAATTCAGATTTGTACTGAAGTATACGTATCTCTCATACTATTTTAAGTGCAATATTAAATTTTCTTTGCCTATGGCTCTATTATTATAATATATTGTATATTCTCGAAATATTGAAATTATTACCATATTTGATTATTCGTTTAATTATAGTTAGAATAATTAGATAGTCTAAATGGGGAATGGAAATTCACATCATCGTCGGCCTAAGAAGCATTCTAAGGACGACGCTTCGTTAGCGGCACCCACTCCTTCAGAAGGCAGATTGACACCTTCCATGCAGCATAGAGGAACAGTGGGAAAATTTCAAGGCAAAGATGTCATGATAAGCTACAGTCATCAGGATATAGATATAATGAGAAAAATAAAAAGTAAGATTCTTATGTTTGGTATGGTTTTATTGATATTATTGTCGGAGTCCAAGTTTGGTTTGAAGTCGTGTTTTATTCTGATAGCGTTATGAATTTTTGAAATCTGCGCAGCCTTTTTTATAATTACTGATATAGGATTTACAGAATAGGATAGGATTTATATACTTATTCCATAGGGGGGAAAAAGCCTATAAACCGGCTTAATCATATGGCGAACCACGGCCTCTTGTCTAGTTACCAGTCCATGTTGGTTATGGAATTAGTTAGCCAGCTATTTGTTTTCAGATGCATGGACTTGATGGTGGAGGAAGCCATAACCGATCAGCGGTAACGTGAACCACCTTGTGGCGGGGAGAAGTCCAGCAATCCTCTCGCTCATAATTATGGGATTCGAACCCACGTAGGGTAATCAGATCTGCGGTCGCAAGCGTACCAATATTAGTTAATAAAAGCTAAATTGGTATTGTGGGAAAATTGCTTTTCTCTGCAACTTATGAACCAGACTTTTTCAAATGAAGACCCAAATTTGGCTGGTTTTCATAATTTTCTGGGCTCAAATTCATATGAAAATTTTTTTTCAACATTTGCTGAGAATTTTTCTGGCTTTATGATAATTATATTAATCATTTGACCATTATGTCTATATATTTGAGCATTGATCTTTTGTATTTATTCATCATTATTTGTCTTTCAGCTATTCTTGAGAAAGCTGATATCACGGTATGGGTTGACGAAACTGGTTTGTCTCCTGGTACTTCATATTTACGAGAAATCGGTGAAGCAATTGTAGATTCTTATGCATTTCTTGTTCTTCTGAGTCAAGACTCCGTACAGTCCAAGTACTGTCAAGTAAGAAGTTTTATTATGAACTTCCAGTTTGAAAATATTAATTCTACAAGATGTTTCTGTCGTATTTACAGATTAGCATTTCTGCTTTAATTTTGTTCGAAGTAATTTTCTTTTACTTCAATTGTAGCGTTCTTCGGTATTTTCATGTTGTTATCTTCAGTTACTTTTGCAATTTGACTTTCTTGATCTATGATTTTTTCAGAGTTGAAGTTTAACATAAATTTATTTAATTATTTACTACTCAAATTATTTTTGCTATTCGCCTGTGTCCTAATTTTGGATTCCTATTGGGGGTTATTGAAGTCCAAATTTCTGATAGAAACCTGAATTAGTATTAAGTTAACTATACATTCTCAACAGACGATTACATAAGACTTTGCATTCAACTGTATTTTAGTGGCAAAATTTCGATTTCTGGAAGTTGAGGGATCAGGATTAGATATATACCTACTTCAACTGGGATTCAAAGTCCAAATTATGCATCAGAAATCTGAGACACGGTCATTTTTAAAATTCTTTTCTATTATATTATCCAGGATGAAGTTTCACTTGCGTATATATCAAACAAAAGTATATTTGCTGTCGCCATCAAACCTTTTGATGAACTAACGCCTATCATGGATTTGGGAATGTGAGTTTGTTAAAAAATTGTTTGAGAGGAAGTAGGCTACAACATTTTTTGCTTCGGCTCTGATTCTGGAGAATTTAAAAATATAATACCGGTTTTAATATTGATAAAAAAACATGAAAAACTGAAACTTCGTTCCCAACATGTACCTGTGATTAATACCCGTACAACTTTTCGGATTTAGAATTATTTTATTTTCTTATTTCAGGAAACTTACACTTTCTGCAGTACAATGGCATTTTATAACCGGGGAAAGCAAGATGCACGAACAACTTGAACCTTTAATATCAAGTATTCAAGCTAATTTAACAGTCTTGAAACAAACTCAATCTGATTCAGAAGCAGAAGAACGAACAACGGATGGTATGTTAAAGAAGTAAAATACCCATCAATATATATAATTTTCAAATCTCAATTTGACTATTTTCAAAACGAAGTATATTTTAACTCCACAATGGGTTCTCTCGGTAATCCATGTTTGAAAATATTGTTTTAGAATGTATGTAGAATAGTGGATTATCCCCGGCCATCTCGATTATCACTACCGATAATTATTTTTAGTTGATCAAATCAAATTATTTTTTCGAATTACTCCTTGGGAAATGTTACGCTACCACCCCCGAAATTTCTCATTCATCCTCTTTATTGCAATAAAATTTTAAATTTCAAATTTTTGTTATTTGGGAATCCTATATTTCAGTAGATTCTCATCTAACTGATAGTGGCAGTGAGAGTGATAGTAAGTTATTCATTGTGTTATGTTCATTTGCATGACATGGTGGTCTTCATATGGGGTTTATATTTTCATCGCTTTTTATAACAGAATGTTTACTTACGGTATATGCATGAAATATGAAGTCCTTTTGGTCTATTCAATTATTGGTGTTTAATGCATTTCTACTCTAATCTTGTGTTTACGTCCCAAATAGAAACTAAAACTCTTATTAAAATGCTCAATGTACTGCGTGTTTTTGAAATACAAAAACAACTATAACTATTTAAAAATTTGGTGACTATTCAAAAATGTTCAAGAAGTGAATAAGAATTTCAAATTATTATATTACAAAGCTTTCTGCATGGATGAGGAGAAATTTAAGTTTAAGTTCAGGGTTCTATCATTGTTTAACTAATCATAATAAATATGCAACAATCTTAATTTTTTCGTGGATATTGCCAATCATTGCATGTGGAATATCAGTCACCGGTACGCAGTACATATCATCATATTTCTATGTTTATTATTGTGTTGTTTGTTTATATTCTGAATAAAAATTTTGTGGAAAACTCTTACCAACTATTACCTACTTTATTATAACCATTATAACAAATATTCATACTATTGATTAGAATTGTCAAGTACTTTTTAATAACTGAATCCAAATGAAAAAATAAAGGTTCACGTTTTCCAGTGTTTTAAGACCAAAATCTTGGCATTTTTTCCTCTAAATTTCACCACTTTTAGGTAAATTATTTTTTTCAATCACCAAAATAATGAAGATTTGTTAATTATCTGAGCTGAAACCAAAATATTCAGTGATTTTTTTAACAATTTTTTTTCAGTTTCAGTTTTTTGGCTATTTCAAAATGAAAATAAAATACTGTTGATACAATATCTTGCCACTTCCTTATACATTGTGCTAATGTTTAATATCAACAATAGTTTTATCATCTTTTTTTAGATGAATCCGAGGAGGAGCCTAGTAATTATGTGATGAACAGACAAGCATTTAAGTTACGACGATTAATGAGCAGGACGAGAATTTTGTCAGAAGAAGATGAATTAGAAGATACATCGGAAATACAAACTGACAAAGAATTCTGGATTTCTCATTTTGGGAAAGATATTCAGATGGTAGAATGGCCGAAGTAAGTTGCAAGAATGGTGTTTTTATAAGATTTAAAGATTTATTTTCAATGGCAAAAATCAATATTAAATTCAAATTCCAAAAAGATGTCATTTTGGATATTGACACATTGTACGTTAACGAAACAAACTCTTTATGACCATCAATGTAAATAAATTGTTATTTATCTAGTTTCTCATCAGCCATAAAAAAAATTTTTGAAACTTAAAGATGAATGTTTAAATAAAGCTAGATATCAATCATTTTGAAGATCATGTTTTTCGTTTTAAAAATGCATTTGTTTGAAATATGAATGAATTTCTTTATCAGATTGATGTAATAATAGTCTAGTTATGTCACAATATCAATAACTGTAATTTATTTTTCAAATAATTTATTTGGATTTTCTGAACGTTCCTCAAAAGTAGTAAAATGTTACAACTCATAAAACCAATTTTATCTTATTTTGTAAAAGCTGAGAAAGTAGGAAATTAGATATTACGGTAAATCTTGTTTCACTATGAAATAATATTTCTTGAGTTTGGAACTCATTTACGAATACTTCCTGATGGTTGGTATTCACATGATCATGCATTACACATGAGACAGGCTTATTCTATTTCTGTAATTGACGCAGTGATGTCATTACATGGAAAATCCCCTGGTATGAAAATGGTACTCTCATAGTATGTGTACCAGGTTAGGGTTAGGCCTTAATTTTATTCTGATTTTCCCTATTTTAGTTCTATTACGAGCTCGGGGACTGTCTGTGTTAGCCAAGTGAATATACCCCCGGGCCCATAGGTTTCCGTCCATTTACACAACTTGATGTAAAGTAGACGAACAAAATTAGTAACCTCCATATCGGTACACGAACACATACTTCTGGAGTGCCTGAAAGAATTGTAAATACGGGAAGCTCGGTGGTTATGTATTGCAATATATAATCGCAATCAGTTTTCTGTGTAATTAACTTATGGATGTCTAATCTGCACAGGAAATTTTGTTGGTTACCATTAGACAGGACAATTGGATGTAACAATTGGAGATTTTAAGTAAAATGAAAGTAAATTAATGTTATTTGTTTTAAATCAGTTTTTCCAGTGAAACTTGCTATTTTTACACTTAGTCATGAGACCATAGCATGACAATTGGAAACATTTGAATATAAATTAATTATTTAATCCTGATCTATCAGCTTTTCACAATGAAAAAATGAGTTTTCTTGTATCCAATTCGTGACATTTTTATTTTTTTGTATATATTCACTAAACATAGATTTTGCAATGCCATGAATTCAATAACAATACTATTATTTGTCATTTAATAAATCGATGCGTTGATATTTTGTTCGATATTTACAAAGTAGAATTCCATTATCAAAAAACTTTTGTTTGTTTTGGTAACAGTTATACAATCTATCCGTTATAATCACACAATAGATTGTTGACAAGCCCATAGTTTTTAAAAGAATATGATACTAAATCTAGTATGATCCAAAGATAAGTTATGCATTTGCTAAGATTTAATATTGTATTATGTTCGGGAAGTAGTTTTTATTTGGCATAAACACTTCCTATGCTAATAGAAGAATGTTTCATAAGTACTCATATATTCCGAAGAAGTGAATAATCATGAGATTTCTCTAAATTAAACTCGCTAATAAAACTGAAAATTTATTCGTAGAAAAATTTAAGTTTGTAATATAAAACTATTTTTGTTGTTAGACTATTAAAATACCGCTGCCAAAAAAGATTTCATAAAAGCTGACCTTTTTTTAATTCCTTGGAGGTTTATCCTATGCAGGAAAATATGTGCTAAAGACCAGTGGTTTTCAATGGAAGCTCTGCGGAAAACAAGAGTCTATAATATATGTATATTGTTTAAATATACTCAAATATTCTAGGTTCGCCACTAATCAATTTGTTTTTGTCTAGATTTTCGCAAGCGGTCGACACCACATATGCAGAAGTCTGGAAACAGATGTTGGTGACTGAACAACAGAAACAATTGTTACTTCATCTTATGAGCAAAGAAATGGCAGTCAAGAAAAACGTTCTTAATTTCAAAGAATTTAAAAGTAAGATAACTGGTTATTTCAACTAGAATAGACTGACTCGCAAATGTGCAGATTTTAATTCTGATATTTCTTATAATTCCTCATTCTGGAATCGGAAATTTCGTTACAGCTTTTCTATTAGGTCCATCAACTTCACTGTTCTATCCCATCTTGTTACCATTATGTAGATTGTTGGTGTACTGTTGCTTTAATATACCATATTTTTGTAGGATTCTGCACGAGAGACAGAGAAACTCTTCCTCTGTCACAAGCGATTCGACTTTATGCAGCGGAAACATATGCAATGAAAGAAGTCTTCAATGTCAACTCTAGTGTTAGATTGTCTGCAATCGCAAATCTGAGTAAGTATGGGTTCGTCACAAAATATATCATGTTCAAGAATAAATCTGCTCTTTGGTTTTTCCCCCATACTGGTCCCGATAACCAGATCTGGTTGTTCTGACCAGTTTTCCTCATCCCTTCAAATACATTCGAAAACTCAATCATGAGGATGTCTAATGAAATTATGTTTAAAAAAATTTAAATTAAAGCTGTATGCAAAAGTAATTTTTAGGATTTAATTGAGTTGAATTTTACTCATTTTTATAAGACTTATAAATTTTAAATTATAGATTTATAATTATTCGATAGATGAGAGAATTCTAAAATGAAACTATGTGTATTTTTTACAGAATTCCTCGTATTTTATAAAACAGGGATACCTATGTAGTCGAACATACTTTGTACCACAGCATTTTTGACTATAATTTTTTGGTCAACTGCCGAATTGTCAGAGTATCGAGTCGTTCGACTACCTAGGCATCACTGTATAGTGTATATATTGTTTAATTATAAAATTTGTCTGCAATGTTTCAGTTGCATAACAAGCTTTCTATTTCCAATTAAAATCATTCTTTATTTCAGGAAAGTACCAATCCAAAGCAGTGATCGACTCATTGTTGGATTTACTGGAAGGTGAAGAAGATCCTGATATCACTGTAGTTGCAGCTATATCTCTCGCTCATGCTGCTAGTGGAATTAAAATGTTTAAAAAGAGAGCTGAAATTGGGTAAGTCAATTACATTGTGCATCTGAAGAGGCCGAACATTGAGGCAAATCAAAAATGTGTCTGAATTTTATAATTTCATTTAGCAATTTCATCAATATGTTGTGTTACTGTTGAACTAGTTAAATATTAGAAATTTTTCGGTCGAAAACTGGTAAATAGTTCCTACTTGTCATTATGCAAACTGTCAAATATATGTAACATTATATGTTTCAGGCTTCTGTTATGTTTGGATCACAAAGATAGATTAGTACGAGAGAGTGGATGTCTTGCATTGGGAAGATTGAAAAGTAAAAAGTCAATTTCAAAACTTGTCCAGTTATGGTAAGAACAATTTTACTAGATACAAAAAAAAAACTACTAAATTTGTTGTTGGGGCTCCTGAAGTATGCGAACATCGGAATGTAATATGTGTACTAGGTTAGGGTTAGGCCATAATTTTAGGTACAAATACTACGAGAGGCACTTGGCTAGTATTCGAACTCATAGTAGGACTAAAATAAGGGAAATTGGATTGAAATTATGGCCTAACCCTAACCTGTTACCCATGCTACATTTCGATGTCCGCCATCTTGGTTCGCATACTTCAGGAGCACCTTGTTGTTCTTATTATAATTTTTATAATTCACAGGAACATCTTCATATGACATTCAGTAAAGTTTCTATAGTATTCGGCAGTCTATCGTGGTGGAATAAAAACTGATCCCTTTTTATATATCACGCAAAGTCTTGATGAAATATTAGAGCTCTTGGCACTCAAAGAAAATTTGAAAAAATAAATTTTTAGATAGTGAAGTTTTAAAATCAATTGATCCTTTAGTAGCAGAGAAACAGGATTTTTGTCGACAATAACCCCAATAACCACAAGAATTTAGCTACACAGTCCAGAGGTCCATTCATAAATTGTTTGAACAAAACCCTAACTTACGTACAGATATACAATCTGTGAATATCATGAGTTACCAGCAATAACATCAAGTTTTTTATCCTGGAGTCCATTGGGAAATAATTAAATTCTATGTTCTATTTTGAGAAAAATATCAAATATCTTACAGGCGAAATGACACAATATCATCAGTAAGAGAAGCTGCACAAATCGCTATTAATCAAATTGGTGGAGACGAAGCCGAACAAGCAATGCATGTTACTAAAGTCTTATCGGAAGAAATCGGGTTACTGAAAAAATCTGACTAAATCAATTTATATGTTCTATTTTTTCTGAAAAGGTTTCTTTCAAGAATTTGATAATGTTGAAATTACTGGTTAATTGTTGTTGCCTAATTCTTGATTTTGAACGAATTTTAGTACAAGTGTAAATTTTGATTTTCAAACATTTTTTTAGTTCCAGTATTATGCACTCTATTTTCTTGCGGGTATATTCGAATTTTTTTTTTTTCAAAATTAATGAATATGACTATAATTTTATTTACAAAATAATAAGTTGTGGATGTGTTGGCAATTCTATAGATATCATAATTAAAGTTTTGTTTAATATTTCTTCAATATGCCTTGATATGACAATAAAAATGATAAAATGTTTTACTCATTTTTATACCCATCGTTTTTATGAATTAATAAAATTTTTTGAACTTTTTTATTACCTGAACGCTTCCATTTGAGTTTTAAATATAGTACATTACACAACATACCCACAAACATAAAAATGCTTGGTGTCTAGTGTTACTACCAGGTTTCCCCGAAAATAAGACAGGACCTTATTTCAATTTTCTTTCGAAAAATAACACTGGTGCTATTTTGGGAGATGTCTTTTATTATCATTTATCAAAATTATAAAGTGAATAATTACAAGATTTACAAACATACTAAATATGGAAACCAATATCCACTCACTTATAAATAACATGTTTTCATTTAAAACGTGGAGATATTTGCTATCGAGTCGGTCAAAAAAAAATGGACTAAGTCTTATTTTAAGTGGAGGGATTATATTAAAATCATATTTAAAATTTAGGTTAGGTCTTATTTTCGGGTAAAACCTGTCTGTATATGTTATTTTCATCTTTTTTGAAATCACATATATCCTTACGTCCAATATACTGACATAAATCATCTAATATAACTCTAACTAAAAAACAACTTTGATTTATCTTAATACCCAGTATATTATTTTGTATTAAATTTGTATATTATCTAATTATGAATACAGGTTTTGTATCATACGTCAGCTTTTCTGTGCTCAACTTATTTTTTATTTAAATAAATCAAATTTTTTAGTTTCATCAAGCATGGTTTTTTATTTGTATTTTTGGTGAATTCTGTGATTTTTATTGATTATTTTATTATTACTTTTAATTGCGCAATTGCAAAAATGGTTAAATCTGTATAGTACACAGTATTAGTACAATAATGGCGCACTCATTAGTTAGTGGTAGATTTATTACTGACATTGATTTAAAATTTTCTCAGGGTGTATGGTAACTAGAAATTATTGCATTTTTTTTTTTTGACATAGACAAATTAATTTAGTTCAATTAAGATCAAGTAAACTGATTTTTGTTTTATCTAGTAATGCAAATCTCCAAGTATTTAATAATAGTTTTTTATAGATAATTTGAATTCTTTTGACAACTTATGATAGGATGGTGTTGACTCGTGTTGAATATTCATATGATATCATACACTTATATTTTTTTTCATGTTACATCTGAATCTATGGAAAAGCATTATATAGTTGTTTTTTTTACCAATTTTGCAAAATTATTATCGTTTTTAAATCGTATTCTATGAACAAAAACAGTAGTCCTCAATTAGGGTACACTTTTAGCCAGGGTTGGACAATTAATCAAAACTCCTTCCGTCGACAAATGTTGTGAATTTTGAATCTAAAAAAAAGACAGGTACATATATATATATCCCTATATACTCTCTCCTTTAATTCCTCTCCTTTAATTCCGAGTGTATATTAATTATATAATGGAAATAACTGGTTGCGTAATACCCCTTTCATCTCATAGTCCCATCCAGCAAATGGAATTGGAGGGACTTTTCATTAGTTCTGTGTTAACATTATGCATCATAAGTTTTTAAATAAATTTCATATTTACTGTGAAATAAAGTTTATCAAATTTATTTATCGCACAATCCAGCAACATGCCAAAGTTTTAACATATTCTCTTCAATTTCAATAGATTCATCCTCGCTTTCACTATCTGAAAATTCACCGTAGTGTCTCTGTCCCGAGCTTGTAGCAAGAACGGGCAAATATGGGTGAACATGAACCCCATTAGTACAATCTCTATCCGATTTGAATTTGTAAAAGGGTTGTTTTATTGTGTTGTGTGAAAGATCGGATTCCAGCGCAGTGTTAGCATCCCAGAATGATACAAAGCCGTCTGTGCCACCGGATATTATTGTATTTTCCGACGATATTTCTTCGCTTAAAACTCCCGATACCAAATCAAAATATACCCTTTGGTTTGTATCGACAGTTCGCTCCAAATGAAATAAATCTCCGTTAAGAAATCTGACATCCCAACAAACGATTGCATTGTCCTTACGTGCACCAGTATACAGCCGATTTCCATCTGGTGAAAATTTCACTTGTGTTATGCCTTTGTTTTTCGCATTAAATATGCTTATTAGTTCCCCATTTTTAGAGCTGTATAGCGCGACGGTGCCGTCGTAGGAACCGCAAGCAATGGAGGAACCATCTGGATGAAATTCTGATGTTGATATAATTCCTCGTTGTCCTGATGCTCGCTTGTGTTTTCTTGTCGGATATTTTTCACATTGGTCTCCTGGACGATCAATGTAGAATAACCGGAGTTCTCTGGAATATAAAAATCAGAATGCTCTGTAGTAGAATAAATGTAAATTAATACTAGCTGAATAATGTTGTGAAAGTTGGAAGTTTTAATGAGCAGACACTCTGTTTGAAATTACGTATTATAGAATAGGATTTACATATTTATACCGGGGATAGGAAGGAGGCTAAATCGTATGGCGAAAAGGCGTCTCGTCGGGTATGGGATTAGTTAGCCAGTTATTTGTTTTGGAAGCATGGACTTCGATGTCGGGGAAGGCGTAACCTACCAGCGGTTACGTAAACCACCCTATGGTGGCGATCCAGCAATCCTCTCGCTCATGAACCCGCGAACCCATGTGAGGTAATCAGAGTTGGCGAGCGTATACCTAATGCTAAGCTCGATGCGCCACACCACGGAGCCAAATCAAAGTAAACATTATGTAAGATGAAAGCTTGGTAGTGAAGTAGGCTATAGATATATTGCTTACAAAAAAATTTGGGATCGTATACAAAGTATGTAAAATTGCGATACTAACTTTGTAAATCCGCATATCATTTGTAAACCATCAGGGCTAAATGCAATTGAATGAGCAGCGGTAATTTCGTCAACGTTATTTTTTGCAATATAGCTCGCTCGTAAATCATCATTGAAAGCATCCCAGAGATGAATTGGTTGATCTTTTGCAGTTGTTGCTAAGCAACACGTCTCAGGATACATAGAGTTCATTTGAGGCCACCAAGTGTAATCGTATATAGTTTCGGCCTCCTTCAGCTTTAAACAAACTTCGATCTTAAAATGTGGTTTATCCCAATTTTTAGATAAAATTTCGATTGGAGTGTTGTAAAGTCTTATTATATTATCATCACTATTAGTCATTAAACATAATCCATCTGGTGCCCATTTGCATCCTTTAAAAAAATTTTCCTTTCCCAGTTCGAAAGATGCAAGAAGTGTTGTCTCAATCGACTGTGCAACTACTTTTTCACCAGTTGTGGATGGGACTACAGAAATATTGGTGGTCTCCAGTGTATCAAACGATTGTAGTAACTCATTTTTAGCAGTAGAAAGATTGATTTCTGTGTTATTTTTCTCCTCTTTTTTGTCAACCACTGAGGATGTGTCCATAACATTGGGTGCTGTGGTCATTTTTTCTGTTTCAGGATTAAGTGATGGCGTTTGACTTGTTGCTACTGATTCTTGTGTTTCAATAATATTTCCAATGTCATCATCTTCTTGTTCCATATCTGCAATTTCGATGATTGCAGTTTCTGAATTTTCGAAGTTTGACTCTGCTTTTTCACGGTTTTCCTCTACTGTTGGCGTTGTTAAAACTGCATTTTTAATTACCTCTGTTGTATCGTGCTCCATTTTTAAAGAAACAGAATTTGAAACTCTCTTGGTTTAATACTTATATCACATGGAATACGGAATAAAAACGTGCCCGCGCTTTTATTAGAATTCCATACTTATAAAATGGGAATTCCCCTTCTTAATAACCGACATATCGGAGTCGACTCCGGTGGCTTTGTCATATTTGTAATGTATCATTCTATTTTCGTTTCAATTAAATAAATTATAGAAATATTGCCATATTTTTGCCGTAATTTGCAATAAATTTTTATCAAAACTCACATCCAAACAGACTACGTATACTGGGCTGTAGGCAAGGCATGTGGATCAACTGGACAAATATCTGGAACAATGGCCATAGTCCTGGATGAGCACGAGTCATGTTGATAGAATATTTGTGAGATGAAGAATATTATATATCTTAGTTATATTTCCCACAAAATTTGATAACATTGCAAATGATGGCCAATCTAATACGCGTAATATTTAATATTATAAAACAGCTCTGTTTCTTTGATTGAATTTGCTCGGCGTCATATCATGTGGAAAATATTAGGGTTTTCTTTTATTAGGGTTGCAACAAATGTCAATTTTGTTTCAATGCATGATTAGCGGGCGGTCCTGTTTAAATTAAATAATTAAATTATATGCAATAGAAAAACGGAAGAGCTATCCATCATAGGAAATTATAAAATTTTATGATGATAAAAGCAAAAGAGTGTTATTGCATTATTGTCCTGTGGAACAACACTCCCGACATACCCAGTTACTGGTTTGACTTGTGTTGAATTGAGTATATATATATGTATATTTATGTCTACCTATTTTGGCGACAAGGTAGCATCGTCTCACAGCTCTTATGTTTCTCGAATGTTGATGTGCGATGCGATATCTCGCGAACCAATCGCCGCTCACTGTTTTACAGTCCTCTGCTCTCCGTTTATTTCTTTATTATAACCGAGCTTTTTTCTTGACACGTGTACGATATGACCGATCGCCAAGGTCTTTTCAAAATTGTCGCTGCCGGGTGAGCATCTTTGTTGTTTTTATTATTTGTTTACGTTTTGTTTGAGGTACTTTTGTTTTCACTTGCAGTCGAATATTTATGATCTGTGTCGCGCTTGGTTCGTTTCGTAAGATAAGATCTATGTCATTATTATTGCTTGTTTTGTTTGTATAATCTATAAAATACGCATAAGACCCGCTGACCGCGGGTTATACAGCCCTGATTTACATAATAAAGAGAACAGAATTGGAATGACCGTGTTATTGATTCATGGTATTTAAAAAAAATGATATTTACGCGATTAAATGAATCTAGCTCAAATTGCCAGTTAATTTATTTTTTGCATACATCCGTTTTACATACGCAGTTCATAACCTCGTTCTCAGTTAAACATAAAATGTGCAGTGTGTTTCGGTCCCAAACTCACAAACTGGCCTTTTGTTAAATTTGAACTAGTACATCTGGTACATTGAAGAATTTGTACGTCTCAACGGAATCTGAAAATCGTAGCTCAGCGGGCTTTTAAAAATGATCAACGATACCTCGCAGGACGCTACATATTTCGCCTAAATGTATTGCCAAAGACCAACAATATTTGATGTATATTTTGTCAAATTTAAATACAAATTTTTAATATTTGTCATTCTAATAGTTGTACAGACAAGGAATCAAATATTGTGAATTCGCCACTAAATGCTGAAATGAGAATAAGGATTCTAGTTTTTATTCAAGCATTCTAAATCCAAATAGTACTGAAACCGAAAACCAATGAAACTACGTCTCTGTCAGGAATTTTAAATTTCATGAGTTGACGACAATACCGTAACCTTAAATGCGCAACATAATGACAATATAGTCACTTTGAATGTGCAATATGAAACTATAGCAAGTAGACCAGAAAACGAAAAACTCGTCTCGTATTCGAAACCCGTTCGAGTGGAAATCGTCTCTAATAATTCTCATGAATTTTATTCATGAAATTGAGGGTGCTGTTGTTTAATGTTAAACTTGTGAGGTCCCTTCATCTCTGTTTGTTTCTTTATTGTATTCAATTTAATATTTTTCTTGGCACGTAATATTTGAGCGCGCCGAGGTCATCTTTTCGGATTTGACGTCGTCAGGTCTGCTTGTCCACGTTTGTTCAATATGATTTTCACGTATCATTATTTCGCTAACGGACTATTATTGGCGTTCTTTTACAGTGATATATACACTAGTGCAGTTAACCTATTTTCCACGAAATCCGAAGGAGAAATTGCTCAGACAAAACGAAGATCCAATGACCAACAAGCTAGATTAAGAATTATTCGTTCAGTTAGGCCATAACATAGTACTACAATGATTGTTGGTGAGAAATTTCGCAATAAAGACTTTACGGAAGGCCCAACCAAATAAAGATAACGGGAACCGATAGGAATTGTGTAAGTAAACTACCTTTGGAATACCAATTGTTGGAATATACCAAACACGTTTTTACTTTTCAAGCTTCGAATTGTGACATCCAGAACTAGTGGTGTGGAAATGGAATAGAAAAGACGATTTTTTTCTTAATGGAAATACGGCCTTGCAGAGTTCTAGAGCTATTTTGCCTGTAATATTTTTGCTGACGTTTTTTAAATTGTTTGGGTTAAAACATTCTTTTTTAAATTTTTTCGTTCCAATTCTTTATTCCTGTATCGATCCCATCTTATATTACAGCGTTTTCTTTGTGTTTTATTTTTATTTCGAAAGTCATCACAACTATACTATTGCAGTTAAGCCTAAGACTAGACATAAAATTGTTGATTCAAATGTCTGCGAAGTGGTATTGAATTACCAAGTTCTGAAATTGTCGAACTCAGAAGCGAAGGGATGCGATTAAGGATTGGTAAGGTAACTGTTATCTTATATACGATAATGTACGAGTCTGCAGTAGTCAGCGAATGATATACAATAGTTGGTATATGAATTTTGTTGTCAAAAGTATTAGATGTAACGTGGTTCGAATGTACTTAATGCCCCTGCTTTCGCTTCTAGCTTGTTGTGCGTCCTCGTATGGTAATACAGTCACTTGTGTAAATGGTAGTAGGATGGTATCAACGCAAACCATGTCTACATATAAAAAGCAAGCAGTCTTGTCAAATTCAACGCCATGTTTTTATGTTTCTTTGTGAACTTCGTATATTAGGGTTTTCATTTCCTTGCCGCAAATTTTCAATTTATTTTTACAGATGTACTAACGTAGACTAAACTTAGGAATAGAGTTGTTAATTTTACAGTTAGAACATAGCAAAATGTAAACTTTGAATTGCACCCGACAAAGGACGGCGATCGAAGATTTTGCTTCATTTGAGGCAGAGACCGACCGCCCGATATCAAGAACAGGAGAGAGAAGGTATGGCGGTTTAAAAACTTTTTCGACGTAATTCAACTAAAATTATCTATCAAGATCCTACACACATAACAGTGAAGCACAGTGCTTTAAATTGAAGCGCTCTACTAAAAATGTCAAAAAATTCCATAGTCACGTTGTTTGGTGATTTTTCCTATTTCAGGCACATCGGGATTGCAGTATGAATTGAAAAATGAAGAAATTAGGGTAATTTAATTTACCTGTTGCAATTGGTGAGTTGTATTTCTCGACTATGGTTGGATGTTTATTAAGTTCTTGGTCACACTCAGCTGAATCACGTTATAGAATTAATTTTAAATGTTTTACTGCGGTGAGACGACAAACTCTAATTATTATGGTTGCAATTTATTTTCTGGTTCACAATTCCTTAATACCCACGATCTCTTTCCTCAATTATACACTGAATAGCAAAATATGGTACTCAGTTCCCAATAAAGTTGTATAAATTCTATTCTATAAGTTCTGTGAGTTCTATAAGTTACAACAATATTAATTTTTCCTCGTTTAGAATTTATTCTGGTACCACTAGCTTTCCTTCACTACCGCCAGTCACCAAATTTTTAATTTTGGAGCTACTAAGTACGCCATATTCTACAGTAAGTCAAATTACCAAGTATTTCGGAAATTTAATTTACCTTATTTTTTTTCAGATGTGATGAGACGGAATGTAGAAATGTGACGAATTTTGAGCATAACTTGATCACATCTACAACATTCAGAACAGTATTACTAAAAGTAAAAATTTAGTTATTATTCAAAACTTTGAAATTAATTCGTGTAGAAATTTAGTTATGGGTTATGCCCAAAACAAAACTAGTTTCTACAATAATAAAAAAATGCATAATTAAGCAATAACATTGTTTTTATTGTAAAAATGAATATAAATTCCGAATAAATTGATGTCCTATATTTCATCACTCAAATAGAGATGTGTGAAAAAGTTGCCCGTTTATGACTTTTTGTCACAATAACTTGAGCCAAATAATATCAGACAAGATCGACGAACGTTTCCCTTGGCTGCAAAGTTGATCTTGCCTGCTCTGTTCATTTAGACTTATAAAGAATGACATGCAAATTTACGATTCATATCTAATAACTAATCCTCATTTTTCAGGATATGAACGTACGACCTTGGTGACAAAGAAAATGTTGCTTCGAGATCCCCAGATACAATGTTCAGGGTCTGGTGTAATGCGAATCGTTAAAATCTCCTATTGTAATGTATTTTAATATGAAAGACTGAGAAATATGCCCGTTAACGAATTTTTATGTCATGTAGAAATTTTCTCTCGCAGTATTTTTAATACGATTTTGCATAGCATCTTTTGTCCCGACTGACTTGCTTTCCAAATTTACCGATTTGAACTAAGTCTGATAAAAGGTGTCCATATAGTCCATTTACAATTTCTTTATAAAGTAAGTTCTCAATATATCTTACCCAGGTTTGTTATTTTAATCAGTAACTTGTTCAGATATTTTTATTTCGTTTAATACATCTGTTGAGGGCCAAAACAATAAAATGGTAATGATAAATTTTCTTTGCAATTTCAAAAAAATTCGATTTTATGACACGTTATATATCTGAAGCAATTTAAGTCATTACAGTACGGAAAACAGTTGTTTTGCACCATTATAACCCAATATTATTGGAATAAACGTATTAAAATAAATAAATAATAAGCAGATAAATATCAATAATTCTAATCGTGCCGATAACCTTATAAGATCTCTGCAAAATGAGATGTCCTTTTTTTCCAATTTTTGTCCCAATTTTTGTACAATTCTTACGACTAAAGCGGTTTCGATAACAGCCCTTTACGTAAAGTTTTCGGTTGCAATTATGAGAACCTGAGAGTTGATGCGTTTTTATTGGTAATTGATTCTGAGATGAGGGTGTCCAGTCAAATAATTATCCTAATCGTCCAGAGATTAATATCAAGGAGGTTTGTCTGTATTCGTGAAGCTCTGGTTTAGCTCTAAATGTTCATGTTTTATATACATATCGCCCCTGCTCGATGTAAAGTATGTGAAAAAATAAACAACTGCTCGAGACTATGATTGTGCAAGTGTGCGCTAAAATTCATCTATATTTGTTCGATTTATTAATATAAAATTTTTTCATGTCTTTGATATTCCTCACCGATTTATATATATTATTCTGTATTGATGAAAGTGTTATCTTGATGACCTTGAACTTCGTCTTGTTGATTTTTTTGATTTATCCTGCACTTCAAAGAAATAAACTTTTATAAGCCACAACTTTTCAAAGCTTCATAAAATGTGGGCAGAAAGTGGGTTTTAGCTAGCTTAACAAGCGACGGACAATGCTCTGTAGGGTCTTTTGATCGCTGGGTGCGCGGGCGGGACGGGGTAGCGCGGCCAAAAAATATTTCTAAAAAATGTATCTATGGCCAAAGATAAATTATTATGTTCGGCTATGTATGGCCCAATGATAATAGGGCATTTTGACGTTAAAATTATCTGTGGCCACACTTGGCCAATGATAATTAATTTTCGTCCCGAAAATAATCTATGGCCACACTTAATCGATGATAATTTCTCGGATTTTGATATTTTTAAGGGTTAGACCTAGGATTTTTCTTGATTCCTGTCGTTTTCATCGGAATTAGCCCCTCCTGACGTCACTTTTATATCATCATGTGTGCTTATTTGAAGATTGAGTTTGAGAGATATTTTAAAAGTCAGCGTCGGACTCGAACTTTGGACTCAAAAACGACCTGGAGCCCCTTTTACCACTACACCATATAAGTATTGAGTTTTAGCTAGTTTAACTCTAATACGTATCTATCAATGGGCGTGGTCGACTTGGCAAGACAATCAAGCTGGAAGACGGACTTAGTCCACCTCGATTTTTGACAATCTTTCCGTTGTCCAGTCAGGTCGTGAAAAACTTCATACATAAGTAACAGACCTTGTGGACCGAAAATGGCAGAAATCGGATAAATTCCCAGGTCAAACCCTTGAAAATACCAAAATTCCAAAAATTATCACCGATTAAGTGTGGCCAAAGATAATTTTACCATAAAATAACGCCTTTATCATTGGCCCATATATGGCCGAACATAAAATATTTACGACCCAATTTAAAAAAAAAAAATTGGCCCGCTCCTTGGCCCCGGCTGCTCGGATCGCACCCTACCCGCTCCAGGAAACCCAGCTCCGTAACCTTTTGCGTACTTTTCTGTCTGCCTGATCTTAACTTTTCTGCTCAACAGAATTTTAAAACCTTATAAAATTTCGAAAACAATTTATTGCTCCAATCAATAAACTTTCAAGATTTCAGAAATCAAGCAATAAAGAAAAAACTGATGAAATTAATATACCACAGCAGCGAAACACGTAAACATGAAAAGTTCCAATATTAAAATATGGATAATTAGAAGAAAGCAATTATTCAGATGTAGGAATTTAATTTAAATAATAAAATAATATTAAAAGAAATAATCATCCATTTGACTTGGATTAATGCAGCATTTTATTAGTTTATGACAAAATTTCAAATAAACACTGGCGATGTTATTAATTTGAAAAAGAAAGGTCTGAATCCGATGTGGTGACACTATGTTAGTATCAAACCAATGCTTATGGGGAGGGGAGGTCAAAGTTCATCTGAATTTTTGCTCAACTGACTACTTTGGGCGGCTATAGTTCAAAATTTACTTTCGTTTTTAAATTATTTTTTGTTTAATTCAACATTTGCTGTTCATGATAAAAATGTAAAACGGAAAGCTTGGTGCTAGTGACGCATAATGGGCGAATGTTATGTTGGGGGGTCATAATAAATAGACGAATTTGGGTGAGAGTTTTCATTTAAGAAGGGGGATGTCGAAACATACTTTGAATAGGCGCTATTAGATTTAAAAAAAGTGCAAAACATCGTTAAACTAGCAAAATTCGTATTCTTCATTAATTACGATACAAAACACTCTTGTATTCGCAAAAAGGAGCAACAGCTTCTTCCGTCACCAAGGTTCGTTCATTTCTTTCTTCATCGGTATCTGAAATAAATTGAATAAAATGAAACTCATATCTTACAAGTTCAATGGATAAATAGTACAGGTAGATTTATGATGAACAGAATAACGGGGTCTGGTCATTTCGATTTAGTTACGCTTAGTTACGTTATACGGAGTTTGTTCAAGGCAATTTGTTCTGAATTTGAGACGGTCACGGTCTTATTGGACATTATTGATAAAGAAAGAAACGTAAACGCAAGGATTGAATTTAAACTGTAAGATCATAGGAACCTACTTTTAGTAGCATTGGGGTAGTACGATTTTGATTAAGTTTCGAATTCTCTGCACACCCCGTCCTCCAAACAAAATATCCATTGTCCTGCAACAAGAAAAGAAGATACTTAGCAATTAGACTAGCTATAATTCCGTAAAATATCGGGAATCAATTACTGAGTGAGAAGAGCCACGGTATAGAACCTTGAGTAACATAATATAGCTGTTGTTTTCAGTGGAAATTACGGCAGCACGAATTCATGTGAAATAAATATACAAACTATCGATTTGGAACAAAGTAACATATTTTCTGCACTGAATGTATTTCTTAAGGAATCAGTTGTATTAATTTTACATAAAGCAAAAAAACAAGATCTCACCATTTGTAGTTCTGTCCGCGAAAAAGTGCTAATTCAGCTGTCAATATTTCTTCGCTCTCTCAATTAGGTTATATTCGAAATATCCCTTTAAGATGAATAAGCGTTTTAGGACACGTGATTGTATTGCAGAGTATACTTATTTCGACTGGTAAAACTGACTTGCTGGTCGTAAAGAAAAACTAGTGATCTTCGAAAAAATCAAGCTTTGGAATATAGATAGTAATAAATGCCCGCGCGTTAATTTGTAGAAAATAGCGAGCCCGAAACACTTGCAATTCTGATAAAATTTCCCGTTTACGTAATACGGCTGCACTGCAAGAACATTTCATAACTTTTTATCAATTAACTAACCTATATTAGAAAAAATAACTTACCATCGCAGTTCTGTACTTGGAAATTGATTACTTGATAGCCATTATTACTTCGATCTTGTAATTCACAAAGAAGTTTATGCCTTAAACAAAAACGTTTTAGTGTAAAACTGTGCTATAAATTGTTAACAAATTTTGAGGAAATAGTTTTATAACAGTTTTCATTTTTATATCATGCATAACTATTTCACGATCGCAATAACGTAAAAGACGCATTCGAGTGCGCAATAGAATTAGGCGATCAATTTTGGCCTATACTAGAGGTAAGATCGGGCTAAAAAATTCCAGCCCGACCCGACTCCGGCCCGTGGGTATTAAACCCGACCCGACCCGAGCCCGACTAATTAACTGGATTTGCAGGCCCGACCTGACCCGGGCCCGTGGGTATTAAAACCCGACCCGACCCTACCCTAGCCCGACTAACTAACTGAATTTGCAGGCCCGACCCGAGCCCGACTAATTAAATGGATTTGCAGGCCCGACCCGACAACTAACTGGCTTTGCAGGCCCGACAAATTAACTGGATTTGCAGGCCCGAAATTCATCAAGAGGCATTCAAAAACGTGTTTCAAATGTCCCGCTGCACTCCACTTGTGCGGCACAATAAATTAGACGAGGTATGCCGTTAAAAAGCAATGAATAAGCATCATCATCCAACGAACTACTAAACTTTTAAATTTCGAAATTTAATATTTATGAAATCGGAACCACTTTGAAAAATAGTTTCTAATAAACATATATTTACTTATAAAAAAATCCAGCGATATATATGCCCGACCCGACCCGACCCGAACGCAATGATTGACATTTCAGGCCCGACCCGAACCTAATGATTGACAAATCAAGCCCGACCCGACCCGACCCGACCGCAATTATTGACTTTTCAGGCCCGACCCGACCCGAACGCAATTATTGACTTTTCAGGCCCGACCCGACCCAACCCGAACGCAATGTTTGACATTTTAGGCCCGGCCCGAACGTGATGATTAACAATATAGGCCCGAGGGATAGAAAAGCGTTCTAGCTAGCCTATTACAGTATCACCATCAAAACTGACAGTATCAACATCTTTGTGAGGGAATCTGATAACTTGTTAAAAGATAAGAAACGAACGAACACCCACCTTTCCATTCGGATCGATTAGTCACCAGTGACAATTAATAGTACGTTTTCTTCCCTTCTTCGTTTGCTTTATTAAGCCCTGTAAGTAGATGACAAGTTACAGCAAAAGTTAATCAGCATTTCTATATCATTTATTAAGCAATATATATGGGAAGGACGATAGCGGAAAACTAACAATCCCTTGCTTTTACCTAATTTGTATATTTATTGTTGTTCAGACGACCTGAGAAGAGTAACGAACCATACGTACAAACAAGATCGAATCCAAAAGAACTCTGTACGTCATTTTCTTCAGATCTTAAATGAATCGGGTTACGGGAGATATAATAAAATAAATACACTCGAAAGATATTCAACATTGACAATAATAATATTATATCATGAAACACAAAGGTCATGTATAATATGGTCGGCATAGAATTACAGTCAAATAATGAAAAAAGTTTACCGAATCTATACTATGCGAATTATCAAAACTAGCAAATTTGGGGGTAAAATATCGGTCCCGATAGGAAAAGCTATGAAAATGCTTATAAACAAAATTCATGATAGGTAGTTATAACGTTAATGCATAAGAAAAGTTGAATTACTAAATAACACACAATATGAATAGTAATAGTAGGCTATTTTAGTGCACAAGTAAAACTGCTAATAATAAACGAATAAAAGCTGATTTTGGACTCGATTCAACCTAGCTTCAACTGCCTGAATACTGAATACTGCACGCATACCTGACCCCGACCAACGCAGAAACGTCCTCACACTACAACACCCCGAGTCGAAAAGGATCGCGCGTGCTAAATATTTTTCGAAGGTTAAACGAGAAGAAAAAAGCGCTGTATCATAAAGAAACAAGAGAAAAAGAGCTGTCGAAATACATTAAAGAAACAATCGAACGAGAATCACTCTGATTACTGACAAATAATTGGGAGTGTTATTATTGCTTTAGTTTTAGTAACAGAATCTATCATGACTGGCGTTCGATCAGGCTTGACTTAGAAAGAAAATCGCAAGTTTTAGTTAAATTTCGTTCAACATAATTGATAGAATAAATCTCATCTCGGGGGAGATTTCCGCCAATAATCTAGTTCTGCCATTCTGAATACGATCAAGTGCAACTTTAAAACGTTTTGGAAATTATCAGACGATTTCCGTAGCGAATGGTTGCTACCAAGGTTCTTCATAGGAAAATATGCACAATAGCGAAAAAGCAAACGATATAGTTAACCAACTATTCGAGTGTCTATTCCAAAGGTGTCGAACCTGCCGCCCGCAAACGAATCAGTTTGACAAAAGTAATCTCTACTCAGTTTTTGAATAAACCCCGCCACATTTGAACAACAGAACAATCAGTATACGTGGACACTAAGGTCAAAGAACGAAACTTCCTCGCACATTTACATCCGAGGCGGGTGAGATTTAACCCCCGGTTGCGAATCTTAGTTGATATGATCGCAAATGGGATAGGGTGGGTTATTGGGTGATGAAATACTGAATAATACGGAAGGTCTTTAGTTCACTGAGATTGACTTATACACCACAATTGATTAGTAAGACGAATATTCATTAGTTAGACATCGAGATGAAGCGATTAAGCCATGTCCGGTCTGATTCAAAATTGCCCTGGTTTTAGTACGTCTTAAAAATTGCAGAGACTTAAGTGATATTTTCAAATAGACTGCGCCATGTGTACCTGAAACTGAAAACTTAGCTAATTGTAACTTCTCGAAAATATGCTTCTTTTTTTCATCGAATATATGCACAAGAGTTATATATGTATTGCCGAGTATGAGTTACAGAAACTAGGACAAAATAGGACGCTTCTTTTTGATTTATAACCATTCATTTTTCATGGTGTCATATTATGATTAGTTTTGAATCAATTAATTTATTCGCGACAAGATTAATCACCTTTTTGCTTATTAGACACAGATGATCACTTCAAAAAATGTTGTTGCACTACCGTCATAATCTACTAAGCAAATTTCTAAACTAACCACACACAGCTGGTTAAGTTAGCGACAGTGGGCAATGGGAGTCAGATTCCCAATAGAAAGCACTTTCGACGCATTAGAATGCACGAAGTTAGTAGATTTGAAATCGAGATTTTGTGTAAGAATATACTGTTTTAAACGGGTTACGTCTAATATAATGTTATCTTGGTCGAAACAGCGACGAAAGGGGCTTAACCCAGCGATATCGAACCGGTCTCGCGGTTCTAAATGCGCAAACAAAACATTTCAAGGCAACGTTAAAGCAAATATACTTCTCAGAGATTTTTATTTGTTCAGAGAAATATAGTTTATGTTTCTAGTCGATGCGCTACGCCTCGCTTCTCGTGTAACAAGATTTAAACTTCGTTGGCGATTGTTTTTCAACGAAAGCACAGCCAGTATACTCGGATGCTGTTGAAGGTAGGGAAACAAGTATTACTGAAGAACGACTCAAATCAAAAAGCAGTTCGATTTGTGTCAGTTTGTGTCCAAAGTACTTAGCGTCGTTATTATCTTCAAATTCCTTCGTAAGTTCAAATTGTATTGTTCAGCCTATACTCAAATAAAGTAACTTCCAAAGGTCAGAAGGTTGGTGAATAATGTCACAAGTCTGACCAGTCATAGCGTAAGTTCAGATAGCTAGTTGCCAGATTTTCAAAACCTATAACAACCTCCGACGAAAACCTTTTAACAGTTAACGGTAGCCAACTTCGTAATTCCATAACAATGTTCAGTCAAATAAAACGAAAGACGCAACAGGACACAACTGAGCCTATAAACGGAGGAAAGTCTTTCAGATATGGCCGCCAACGATTATGTATTATAAAAGCTAGGAGTGGACATTTTTCAAGCAAATTCGGGATTGGAATCGCTATCCCCACCGACGAGGACAGCCTGATACACAAGTAGGTGATTGATATATAAGTATTGCATTTTTATTCTGTAAACAAAAGTAAACAATAATATCTTTCGCCAAAAGCTTATAGCACGACGACAGGGAACTTTCTTATCAGCTATGCGTTGACGTTCCTGCCAGGGCTATGGGTCAAAGAAAATGTGTACCCCATCCAAAATCCCGAATTCTGACAACATAAGCGTATGCAAATATTCATTAATTTTCTGTTGAGAATGTTTATTAAAGTCGAGATTTGAGTTTTCATCGAAAATTCCTACCTCGATTATCACCCATAATTAGAAATCGACGACTTCAAAATTTGACTTCGATTTGAATATCAATAAAAATGCGAATTTCGACTTCACAGCTTCGGTATCCTCACTTCATTGGTGGTACACGACCTGTGTCTAGTTATCCTAAAATGACACCCTCCGTTTATATGGCACCAAAATACCCTTCTGGGGAAATGCATCCAAAAAATATTGACGATTGCGATCGTATATCCAAGTAAACCAAAGCAGTAGTTCGATTTTCTACAATTTACGATACAATATATTAGGATTAATGAGTTGCGACGAGTTTTATTTGACAATACTGAAATGTTTTTTTTATTCTTTTTCCAGGATAGGATTTGTACAGCGTGGCAGCCCCGCCTCCATGTCGGGACTACGCCTTAACGACGTCATATTGAAAATTAACGGTCAAGATTCTAACGAATTTACACATGACGATTTAGTAAATTACTTCCGAGAATATAATCAAGAAGAGATTCGATTAATTGTGGTACAGCCAGTGCAAGGAGACGTAGAACCTATGGCATGAGTACTCCTCAAACACTGACATCACAATCATGGAACATAGCATTGCAGGGAGCTATCGACATTGGCACTTCGAATATGCACCTTGGTCATGCTATACAGCGATGCATCTGTCAACCTTTCAAGTTAGGAAGACTGCATTACTTCAAGCATGAAGACTCCAGCACGGGCGTCAGACTACTGATAGGGAATTTTGTTTTCTGAACATTAATATGATGCCCGTATGCCTGCCTACATTAGGGAAGTTGGATATCCTAGTATTCTGGATTCATTTACCAAGGTTACCATATAACCGTAAAGTGAAATATACCCAAAAAACCTTTCTCCGAACCCCACAAGAACAAAAAAAAATTATCGCACATTCCCACAAAATAAAATGCTTTTGTATGTTTAAATTGTGTAATCTCGAAACATGAAAATATGAAATAAAAGTAACTTTGAACAAATGATAAGTTAACAGCCAGATATTTATTTTGCATGGAAATCGGACTCAAAAAAAAAAAAAAATTGTGAAACAAGTTGTCAGCAAAGCAAGAAAATAGGAGTTACCTTTCTATAAATTTTGCTACTTATTTGAACTACTTGGCAACTCAGTTATGAAATTAAATCATTCTTGAAAGGCTATTTATGAAAAATGTTTTGCTTCGTAACCATTTACATATAATAAGACTAGGCAGTAGGCACTCATCATGATTTTTGGTTTAGATTCATGATTTTTTTTTTCCAATATCCAATTCTTAATTATAAATTATTTTGTATTCGAACCCTAAGTTGGCGATAGAAAAATAAATAAATAAATACAAATAGAGTTTTTCTAGCCTGGGTCACCTATCAGCTAGAATGCAATGTAATAAATTAGTTGATTGAAATTTAACATTATGAATAGCTCTGGCAGACATTTGCCATTTACCTATGAAGTCGGTGTTGAGATTTGGATCATTAGTATCTGAGAAAAAAATTGAAGCCAGAATAAGAAAAACATGAGTACAATGTACAAATGTATGGATTGACCAAATAACTAAACAGAGCAGCCATAAACTAAAATCTTCTTTATACTTTGAATCAAAATTATGAATCAAAGCTCCCTCTCATAGCAATCCACCAGTACCAATAATGCCTTAGCATTGGTTTTATTTAAAAAAATCTGCAGACTAGTATGACGCAATCAAGTAAAATTTAATTTTCCAACCAGTAAAAATCATCAAGATCGTTCAACAATTATGAGAAAAAAATCATGAAGGGAAGGCTGAGGAAGGGAGGCAGCTAGGAACCAAAGTTGGTTACAACCGAATATCAACTAAGATGGCGCATTATGCAAAAAAGTGGTAAAGTTTTGGGTAAAAAATTGAGCTCAATAGTACTATAAGAATAAAGTAATAGCCTTCCAGCGACGTATGCCATTTTTCGGTACTGAATTTGAAATTGATCAGTCAAAGACAGAAAAGTATTTTTCACAAGGGATCGACAATTTTGTGAAACGATTCACTCATTAGAGAAAATAAGCTAACCAGAAATAACCAATTTAATAAGCAATTACAACAACCTGTATTATTCCTTGTAGATGGTGTCTGAGCAGTCCGCGTATTCCAAACACGTAAACAAGAATCTGAACCGCCAGACGCCAGCATTGAGCCATCAGGACTGAAATCAAGAGAGTAAACTGATCCTTCATGTCCCCTCATTTCCTGGAGCAAAATTTGAAGTTTTCAGTATGTACACAACAACAAAAAACATTGAAGTTCTACAGAATACTTTACTTTAATTAAGGCACCAGAAGCAATGTCCCACATCCTTATTCTTCCATCTTCTCCAGATGAGGCTAACAATTTACCATTAGGCGAAAAAGCAAGACACGAGACAGAGGCCTGAAATATTTATAATGTGAATACAGTTAGATGTAAAAAAATTGTGCCCGATGTCATATGAAGTTGTATACCAGATGTCATATAACAGTGTTCCTGTGAGTTGTGCAAAAGCAAAATTTTCACTAAAATATCGGGCTTCAAAGGATTCATAAAAAATAACCCCAACCCCAAATTAGAAAGATGATAAAAAGTACCACTTTGTGGCCTGTTGATAAGTAAATACTGACCCAATGTCCCAGTAATAGACGTACTGTCTTCCCGCTTGCCAAGTCCCACAGTCTTATTGTTTTGTCAGCGGTTGCAATATATGAAATATTATCATGAAAAGCTATGCTTTCTATGTCGCCATGGTGACCCGCAAATGTTCGCAGTGGATATGTCCTCTCAGTTGTCCAAAGTCTGGCAGTTTTATCAAAGGAACCAGTGGCGAAGTAGACACTGTAATTACTGTGACAAAAAAAAAGAAAAACATATTATAATATAACTATCATTCATACGCTAAGGTTGCACAAGTAAACAACACGAGGGACAATTGCACCCATATACAAATTGCACACAATCGCACATTGATATTTGCACACACAATATTCCTAATATTTCTTTGTAGCATGTTTGATCTATTCAAAAATGATCCACTTACCTCATGGCTATGCACCACACAGGATGGATATGCCCTCGATATATTGCTTTATTTTTTTGTGTTGATAAATCCCACAACCTCACTGAGAAAAAAATGAACTACATGACATTAGATTTGAACAATGCTGAATGAACAAGAACAATGTTGTACATTGCTCGAGCGAATAGAATAATTTACAATTATTTTTTTATGGCCAAGCTCCTGAGTATCCAAATGGAAAAAAGCACCGGTAGGAGAGTCGCAAGTGCCACTAAAATGCAAAAAATTTATATAGGATTGTGATTGAGCTTTATAGTAAATACCATTTGGCACAAAACATTTTAGGTCGAAACTATTAAAGAAAGAGCTAGATTGAAATGAACTCCACGAAATGAAATTTCTCAGATAAAAATTTTAGCGAAGAAAATTATATTTACAAACAAAAGCCCCTGCAATGTACGTATGGGAACTAGTAGCTAGTTAATCTTGTGAAATAACATTTAAGTCGAAACTATTAGAGAAAGAGCTAGATGAACTCCACGAAATGAAATTTCTCAGATAGAAATTTTAGCGAAGAAAATTATGTTTCCAAACAAAAGCCCCTGCAATGTACGTATGGGAACTAGTAGCTAGTTAATCGTGTGAAATACCATTTAAGTCGAAACTATTAAAGAAAGAGCTAGATGAACTCCACGAAATGAAATTTCTCAGATAGGAATTTAAGCAAAGAAAATTATATTTACAAACAAAAGCCCCTGCAATGTACGTATGGGAACTAGCAGCTAGTTAATCGTGTGAGATAACCTTTGGGGGGAAAAAACTAACAGAATGTTTAGACTAACAAAGTCTGTTATATTATAGATAACCAAGTCTACATTAATTCAGAAAAGAGATGGATAGCTTGACTGCCTAGTGCCTATTTTAGTTTGGATATTCTAATCATTCATTTCATAATTATTATTTCAATTCCTTATAATGACCAAACACAAAAATGAAACATGTCCATACCTGTCGTATCTTCTGAACATGTCAAAAGATATTTGTCATCATGAGAAAAACAAGATCCCATAACACTGTCTGAATGCGCACGTAAGCATTTCATAGAGTTTGTATTATCAAATGTATTTATTCCCTCGAGTTTTGTTTTCACAGTATCAAAGAAATCACATCCTAAATGTATCTTTGAAACGTCGGGGGATAATCGTCCTTGGGGGGAATTATCAGTATTAGTATTCTGAGTTGTTTTTGAGGTTGTATCGTTGAAGGCACTGTTAGATTGTGTAAAGGCATCAGTTGAATTGAAACTTGAAGTTAACTTCCATAATCGTACAGCAGAATCTTCGTGTCCTGTGAAAATTCAAACAAACAAATTATTTGGATGAATGGAGTAGAATGTATATATCTAATGCTCATTTTCCTCTTTCTTCGTCTCAGCGGATCCGCGAAAACCGACGTCGAGAGTAGTTTAGCAGGAATTCAAGTGGTTATATAGAGTACTTTCATGGTCTTGCATCATCATTCACAATTGTTGAATGTTTTATTTTGTAACGTTTTGTCTGACCAAAGCATGGCCAAAGGGGATCAAGCCAGTAAACATGACGTTGTGTTAGAAATATAAATATGGTAGATGTGATGGTTTTCAACAACGTTGAAATCACAAGCAAGAGATGATTTGTCTAACAATCAACTTTTATCTATCTACCTCATATCCCATGGTGTAACCATTATATGGATTACGCTGAGCCAGGGTAATTTAAAAACATTTAAAAAATCGGGAGAAAAATATTAGTAAAAACTTTTTAGGACACGACTTACCCGTACTCATGAAGTTATATTCATTTGAAATAGTTGCATGGGTAAGACCATAAGGTTCTGTGGCATGTAACCTGCAAATAAGATAAGTTGATGTTGAATGCTAATGATAATAACTAAAATGTTTCAAATTTGGAAGGATGGTAATACTTGATACTTTTAATTTAATAGTAAAGTTATATAATTTGTTGTTCAAATATAAGCATACTTTATCATAGGAAGTTTCGGAGAAACTCTGCTAAATTCAGCAAGAGAAACTTTGGTGTCTATTCTGCACACGTTCAACAATATTTTGCTAAAATGCTTAGCCAACTTGATGCTTTTTAAATTGATTATAATCATTAAAAGTCTGAAATCCAAGATCCAATAACTTTTGACGACTCTGATGAGTCTAAAAATGGCTTCAACTCCAATATCAACGAAAACATACCAAATATTACATTACTGTCTGCTACTCTTATCAGTAATACAATACCTACCTATGCACACATATATTCCCGATAGATGGTTTGCTATCATTAACAGCCTGAATTGAAGAACGTAGCGTTTTCAAGTCTACTTCAGGTATAAATGGTTGAGCTGGATCAACTGGTGCAGCGACAGGGGTTGGAGGGGACATGATTGAGGGGGCAGATAATGTTATAGTTTCTTGTTTTGAAGATGTGACAACTTCAGTGCCGCCGTTAATAGGTTTCTTCGATTGCTGAAAAATGAAAATGTGTATTCTGATTGAATGAAAAAAAATGATCATTTCATTTAGTTAATCAGGACTGTAGAGTGCAGGGAAATTCACAATCAACTCCGACTTCTAATTGAAAAAAATTTTGATCATGACTACAGGCTAATAAAAATTACGCCGCCGGAAATCTGAAAATAAGACTCCAACGCTCAGGAAACTTTGAGTTTTTGTAAAAAATAAAAAAGATTTCAGTCTTTGGCGTCAATGTGAGCTCATGTTTTATACTTATACTTATACTGTTTAACCAACTAATGACTAACTTCAATAGACATTCTTTTTCTTTTGACAGCTTTGGAATTTTCCTGCCTTCTTGAAACTTTTTCATTCCTACTAAACAGATCGAACAGTGTAGTACCTAGAATGAATATAAATCAACAATTAGTTCTGAATAACAGTCACCAAATTCTCTTAATATGCTTATATAAAAATCCAAATTTTATACAACAATACCTCGGTAGTTGAACAACTCTACACAAAAAATTCGAGTTAAAAATGTTGTGGTCAAGCATCCGAGCTGAGCGCATGGCTGAGTGAGATGACAGCACTCGCACTTCGCATCTAGGCTGCCTCTCGACCATTCAACAAATATCAGTTCATGTCAGAACGTTAGCAGGATAATACATTGAAAATTTTTATGATTTGGGAGTTTTTTCTCGCTGTTGATCATGGCTCCAAGTAAAAATAGCGAAAAAGGGAAAGAGCAAAAAAATAAATTATTGCGAAACTTGAGAATGTTGTTCGAGTGTCTGATCTCACCTAACAGTATGGCAAAATGAAATGATAAAAGAGCTAATGTTTATCATATTCGTTGTTTAGATACACATTTCGTTAAGATTTTGGGCATTTTAGAACGAGCAAAAACGTATTAAAATATTTACCATTGTTTCTTATGGTTAAAAAAGTTTTGATACTTAACCCTTTCCGTGCGGTGGGCACGTATACGTACCAACGACAAAAGTCACTAGATTGCGGCGGGTACGTTGATGTATGTATGTACGTTGATGTACATTGATGTAATCGGTCGCAAACTGTTGGTCTAGTTTTTCTGGGTTTTAGCTTATTGATAAGAAGTCTTCTTCGAGATTAACATAAGCGACGGTAAATCTCGCTTTCGTTTACGATAGGAATTTAATTTGCGGCGGAACGAGGGAGTGTTTTTGAAATTTTTGCAAATTTCGGTGTTTTTTGGGTGGTAATAGAAGACATATTATCCCTTCCTTCTACCAAAGTATCTTGAGTTAGATCACGAAATTGCTACAGCAATATTATGCTATTGTTTGCCAACCTTGAAGCGGTAACAGTAAAGGATTTAGCGAATATTTCTATTTTTTATCACGGTTTGAAGTTTCAACTCCCAAGAAAAAAAAATGCCTTTTTTCTATCCGGTTTGTGACTCAGACCACCACTTTTATTAAAAAAACTTTTTTTTTTAATCGCCAATTGCAAGCTCTTTAAATAAGCTTTCCAACGAGCTGTCAGTGGGATCATTAGTTTTTCGTTAGTCGATCGATTAGTTGTGGGGGTACAAATGCATAAAATCGGCGTAGCAAATACGATTATTTAATAAAAAATAAAAATCGCATGGAAAGGGTTAAACAAACCGGTAGTCGAACAGCAATTCCGAACGAATTGTGTTCGACTGCAGAGGTATCACCATATTTCATCATTATAGGTAATCGTCTCAAGAATTTAAAGTGAAAAGTCAAAGTATATAAATGAATAATTGTTGATCACCTTACCTTCTGCTATATTAATTACTATATGGAGATTGATAACTTTCAATAATAATAAAGAAGATTCTGAATGTAGAAATCTTAGTAATGATCCATGATTCTTATACGACATATCTACGACAAATTTCTTTTTCCGATATTCAAGAATCTGAAGTAAAAATGTAAATAATTTTAGAATAAAGTAAGGGCTTTTCAATTGAAAAAGCAATGATTACAATAAAAAGGAATATATATATATCTGTCCATATATAGACAAATCACAAGAAAATCAATGCTGTTACAATTATATTATTTTTCAAAACATTCAGAGATTTGTAAACGTCTGATGCATTATCATCATTACATTACCAACTATGTTGGCATTGTGGGAGCTCCATACGACTGAGTGACTGCCTTTACGGAACCTTGTTGAGAAGGAAAGCATGATAACACTGTATGAAAAAATCATAGAAAACTTGAATACTGATAAATTCTAATTTATGCTGTTAAATATTTCCATTACACCAAGTAAAATGTCACGAATAAAAAGAAAAAATTTTACTTCACTTACTTCATCATTGTTTTCTATGTCTGTTGGTTGAATAATTTGTGCTAATTTATTCAAAGTTGGAGACAGACTTTTACACATTTTAACCATTCGTTGTTTGAAGTTTTTATAAAAATTTCCTGCATCTGCTTTTCTACCAGCTGATACAAGATCGAGATACAGATGACAAAAAATTGGATAGACAATATCTGAAATGTGAAGACAACATTTAATGATAGCAATGCATCACCTTTAACCCCAAAGTAATTCTCGCATAAAACATGTGATTCAAGATTAGACATAATAAATAAATATCTTTACTCTTGATACAGCATCGTTGTATTAGCCCATAAGAAATATTGAGCAAAATTTTTAGGAAAAATTATCCCCTTTCAACTCATCTCAGTCAAATGTATTATAAACAAAATAGTATATATTTCTTTGAAATTGATTATCAAATTTTTACCCCAAAAACAGAACCCAGGTTATTTGAAGCATATTCTAGACCAGGAGTGTGCAACCTACGGTCCGCAGGCCAAATTCGGCCCACAAGGAAAAAGTGTGCGACCTTATGCCTATGACGTTTCAATGCCCTAACAGTGTGCCTGTAACTACTAGAAAGCCTATCTCAAATAGAGATGCGGCTTGCAGTTTCGCCCAGTGATTTGTATCTGGCCCGCCTGTATTAAAGGTTGCACACACCCGTTCCAATCACTAGAAAAAACATAACTGATGTGCAAAGCAACTGAAACTTTTGGGTACTATCATACTGTCAGAATTTCAAGTGTTAAATTAGTTCTCTATATTTTTGACGAAGAGGTAAAAAATTCATAGATTCTGTTTTTGAGTCACTGTTTACCTGCATTATTTATAAGATTATTCCTTTCATAAAAATTATTTGCTTTACATGATGAAGGAGAAAATGAATTCTTACTCGTAATCTCATTATTTTTCTGGCGTTTGGCCTCTTTCACATGATTTAGAAATTCGTCAAATGATTGAAAATATTCATCAATACTAAACACAGTGAGAGCAGCAGTATTTGAAGTTGAAAGATCGTTCTCCTCAGAATTTCGTGTTGTCATATCCTGGAAACATGATGTAGGGTGAATAAGGTATCTTGTGGGACATAATTTGAATACATTCTAAAATATTGAAATTCATTAACTTTATAATTAAAATGCAAGAAATTAGTAACTAAGCTTTAATAATATTCGGCAATATGATAGTAAAACAAATAGCGGTATGATATGAAAATGAACATTCTGAGTAAGGATAATGATTGATAAACATTTCTGCATTTGGTAGTCATTTACGCTCATGAATTGTAGCTTTTTATCTGTGTATCAAGGCGACAAGAAATTGTACATTGAACAGCAATATAGAAGTCATCAAACGATGCAAACCATTTTCCACACGACTGATCATTCTGTCATTATAAGGCACTTTTAATTGAATAATACAAAACACCAATACCGTACTCAATACTGCAATAGTGAGAATGTGTGAGCTTATGAACGATAATTCGACATTTTTATCAATACTAAAACGATATTCGAAAGTCAGGATATTCAAATCATTTCTAAATGCACTGTCAGTTCAGCAGTTTGCATAACTGCATATATACAGATAAAAGAGTCAGCAAGTCGAGCTCACTCATAGACTCACGAACGTACCGGTACCAGACTACTGCTGAAATGCCTGAATGTGTCTAACATTACCATTAAACATGATTTTTTTTAAATAAAAAACAACACTATTAACTGCATTATAAAATTGAAAACCGAAAAACGAAGCATTACAACCCCACCCTCAATGTTTCTTCGAATTTGAACTCTAATTTGTAACTTGCTTCTGAATCAGTGAAATTCCTCTTTTTCAGATACGAAAGTACAAGTGCTTGCATCTGCTCCGTGCGAGCACGTTTCATCTTAATTCAGTGGTTCCAGTGTCCACCTATTCCTGTTCTTTTATTGCATATTCCTTGCGATCTGCCAGTGCGCAAAAGGCTCAGCTCAGCGGTCTTAGCCAAAGTGACTTTAGCCAATCAAGCCCATACAAAATCCCCGCGCGGGGGCGAAGTGGTGGTATCCGGTATCTTACACAGAAACTCCTTATTCCTGTATACGTTATTATAAATTTGTAAATAGTCGATAAATAAAAAATATTCACATATAATCGTAAAGAAGTATTAGAAGAGTATCTTGGATGACTAAACGTGAAATACTGTAGTCTTTTAACTATAAAAAAAATATAATTTTGACTCCAAGCAACATATTTTTTTTGTAAATTTTTTTATAAGATGTGTTGCATTATTTTTACACTTTGTGCATAATTCCTGTTCGTAAGTGTCACATTTAACGAGTGTTTTGAGACTGGATTTGTCTTTCATAAGCGTCGATGACTAATTTCGTCATCTTTTTAAACGTTACTTGGTGCTATGATGTGAGTTTTTTTGACATCCGAAATGATTGCCACAAAACGTTGTTGACTACATCTAAAACTAAAGTGCTTTTCACGAGAACAAAGAACGAAACGCCGAATACATCGGAATATAAAAATATGTATATATGCTGCACAATATAAGCATCATAACCCTATAACCCAGCAACGTGGATGCCCACGCCTTAATTGGGATAACATGTTCGGCAGAAGAATACGATGATATTGAATTTGTTTTTGTTTCATAAATGCGAATAAATAAACGAAATGAAGCCTGCGTATACGTTACCAGATACCCAAACTTGCTTCTCCAAATTTTTCTTCTCAAAATGAATTTCTTTCTTTTTTAATAATATTTGAACTTTTGTGCAAAACCATCTGATATAGGCTACCTACTGTAATCTCAAATTGACCATGGCCTTGACTTTGGTTCGGTCGGCCAGTAGGCTAGTAGTCCTATATTTTTTTCACCAAACTAAATTTACACTTGGTACGAACAATAAATGTGATTCTGTAATTAGTTTTATTTGGTCTTTATCAATTAATTTATCGCCTTTCATACTGATTATGGAGTCAAAATCAACTTATCGTATTTCAGGGTGAAGAGAGACGCGAAACACCAATGTTAGTTATCGAGAAGCGACACTCGTGATTAAGTCTAACTTTGATACAGGAGTAACAGAAAAAAGTCGAACGATGTAAATTTAAAAACTATTGTCAAAGAACCTAATCCGTTACAAAATAAAAACTCTGAGCACCGGCAAGCACCGGTTCCCATTTCTTTTTGTCTTATTTAATGTATAACTAACCACTCAGGTTTGAACAAACGATGTGCCAATTAGTACCTATTTCCTGTCATGGTTTCATCAAACGTTAATTAAGTTTATGTCCTGAGCAAATCTTTAGTTCAATTATGTTTATTGTAAAATTATCAATTAGCGATTTACACCCCACTCCCATCAGTTTTACATCGGACGCTGGAACATGTACCTGCCATAAACATATCGTTGTTGTGCCATAATAGGAGAAATTGTACCGACGTTTTACTCTCGTTATTTCATTATGTTTAACAATAATAACGTAGCAGTTGTATAGCTGTGTCTTGGGCCAGTAAGGTTTTATACATATACATTTTTATTTTATACATTTTATGTTTCTTAAAAATCGATTTGTGTTGATATTTGGACTCTATAACATATGCTGATTTTGGTACTTTATCTTCTTACTGCCACATACTTCACAATGATAAGTAGTATCATACATTTCGACAGTCATTAAACATCTAATGACATGTGAAGTACCATCACATCGAAATCAAACGATAAACATCCATTCACATTCACAAAATAAATATGATATTATATGACTTCAAAAAACTGAGTGAAATTGACAAAATTTGATTGTAATTAAGTTAATTTGCGAAAGTTGTAACAACTTTTGAACCACACATACAATTGCTTACTTAGATGTGATTCCTTTTTTAATCAAATATTATCGAAAATATTATGTATTATAACAATGAAGGCATTTCCAACCTTATAAGGTAATTATTTTTTATCTTATTCTATTTCTAATAAATAATGTCGTACATACCACGTAAACAATATGATACTTATTGCGTTAAATATGCGAGAATTAGATACCAGGGATGAAATGTTTGAAGGACTGTATTACTATCAACCCGAAAAATGGCACCAAGACGTCAAATGTGGGAAGTGAATGCAGATTTGTTGGAAATGCAAAAAGGTAGGTCACAGTTTTAATGGCTTTTTATACTGTATATATCAAAATAGACATACATAGCACTTTTCGTAATTCGAAATATCAGTTTCTTTTATAACTTACCATCAGTTGATTTTTCCAGTCGCTAGGCTGGTCGATGATTTCAAATATATATATATAGATGGATAAAATGAATTACTTGCTTACTTTCAAGTTTATTTCAGAAAAACTAATTCCGTAATAAATTTGAAGATTTTTGGCTTGCGCTTAATTCGAAAATTTGTTAACTTTGAAATAAATAGTCTACATATTATGTTACATTACATTTTTCATCAACCGCATTTTCCTGATGATAAATTTGATTGGCATGCGAGTAGTACACTATTTTTACATCTATACTAATACGCTACCTGATCGTGATCGTGATTTTATTATTTGCAGACCCCATTCTTTGTTAATGTAACCGGTATATATATATAAAACATCATAAATGAGTAGAAAACTTCTCTATTTAAATTTCAGGCGTAAAATAATAGGAATCGTCATCATTTCTTTTTTAATTTTTTTGGTACGCCTTTGGTACTCCAACCAAGATGTCGCATAACCTGAACCCTAACCTGGTAAACAACCTGATTTCAGGTTGTGCGCCATCTTGGTGCGCATACTTCAGGGGGTCCATTTTTTTTTCTAACGATGCGACAAGTTATTACTTGTAACTAAACCGAAGGCACTTCCATCAAATGTTGGAAAGCAGTAAAACTTAGACAAAGATCAATGTAATTTGGATTGTTTTATCAGGTTTAGCCTAACTCGCAATAAGACCTTAATTTTCTTTTGTCATAGAAAATCACTGCCGGTATATTTTGGCAAGAAACAGTCTGCCTTTAGGGCCACGAGTGACAGCAAGTAACTGTTACATCAATACTTTGCTTCAAATGCTTATTTTCTTTCTATCGCCATAGTAACCGTTCGTAATTCTTAATGAAGCATTATACGGTTAGGCTGACAACCTCTTACACACTTTTGAACTACTTAACAACTGTCTTCAACATTTCAAAATATTCGCGACGATTAGGCGAAGGACTTGTTAAGAGTCGAGTTGTAGGCACTTGGGAAACTCATCCTATTCATTTTGACTGCGGTGGTTTTGCTTTCTGTGAACTGTTACCGAGATCAGTGGGATAAGTGAAAACTGTTTTCAGATTAATCGAGTTCCAAGGAATTCGTTTTCCTAGTTTATAGTTTGTGACTGTAAAAGATGAGCATATTATATACACGTTCTTTTAAAATTTCAATGTATTATTGTGTACTCGATTAAGAATTTACTAAAGACAAGCAACGGAGTCGACAGGTATGCTGGAAGGAAAAAACAAATAATGATCGAAGCAGAATCAATGAGGTATGTAACTTATGATGTTTTGATTTAAGGAGAACATTATTTGGAAATTTACCAAATTATTGTATTGTTCATATCTCAATCCTGAGTAAATAGATTGAATATTATCATTTTTCTGCATGGAAAGCATCATTATTACCAGGTTCAGATCAGCAATTTTCAGAGCTAGAGAAAACGGATTTGGAATAATTGAATCGCAGATGTCAAAACCTGAAAATCCTATTGCGTTTTTGCTATGCACAACTTTTTTGCTAAGACATTTTCAATAATGTTCAAACAAGCTTTTTTATATATTTCAGCCTTATACATAGAGTTATAACTTGAGTTAAAACATATACATGACTTGAAAAAATAGATGAAACTGAACACCTGTTTCGATCCGACAAAAATTTTCGATTTAAACTACGAATGTCCCAGATCCAAGGCAGCCTTGATTGTTTTTCTTATTTAATCCGCGCAACTAATTTATGTGTCCCATTTTTAGCAACAATTCAAATTTTAAGGAGTTGCTTATTATTTGTGAATTTGGAGTGACAAGACACTAGAATAAATGTACAACATTGAACCTGACTTAGATGACAATATTTGTTTATTTATTTCAGGAATTTATAAGATTCCAGAGAAACAGTCCACATCTGAGTAATAACCAGAAGAGATATTCAAACACTAGCAATAATTGTCCGATAATTTCTGAAGTAGCCAGAAAGAAAACAACTGAATTCAAAAAATGCAAGAAAAGCTTAGACGGAAGACAAAGCTCCCTTAATTTATTAGAGTCAGTATCGCCTGTTGCTAGCTTCAAGCTACGACAACGATCAAAATCGGACAATATCTTATTGAAAACAAACAAAAATGAAATATTTAAAATAATCAAAAGTGCAGAAGTAAAAACTACACGCAGTATAGCAAAAGAATCCCACTATATTATTCGTGAGGCTACAAAGGACACAGCTCCGACACATAATACGTCATCTACTAAACGGACAAGTGTTGTTGAAAAATCGACAAGACGAGGAAAAATGATTGTATGTCAAAAGGTTAATAAAACGATCACTAAGTCGGTTATCACCGATGGCAGTTCTCAGCAGAATCTGTACGATAAATCCAAAAAAATAAATGAAATCGACAAGACTGAAAATCGTTTCTCGCCAAAACTAAAACCAGACAAACAACACGAAGAAGAGAACAATAGACAAGTGGTAAAACAAAACCATCGAAAATCGATAGTCAAAACTTCATCTGACGAACGAAAAAGCATCGAGAAAGATGACAAAAATGACATTGCTTTCAATTGGAAACGACGAACCAAAAAACCTCAAATAGAAAATTTCGACATTGATGCGTTTTTCATTGCAACAAAGTTACGAAGGGGAAGCTACCAGAGTGACGCCATTATGAAAGAACTGAAAGAAAAAGACAAGTCTTCTAGCCAACGACGACAATCTAATGCATCAAGAATAAAGTTAGATGAATGTATATCGCGGAATGCAAACCGTAGGAGAGGTGAAAGCAATGAAAAGGACACGACAAGACGCAGAAGAACTAATACCTTGGACATGACGGTGAGTACATATTTCATT